ATGTCAACAACTCTTTGCGGTCGACTTTGTTTACTTCGGCTTCCAAGGTGAATTTACCATCAACGCTTCGAATTTTTAGGCCATAGATGTCTATCGCTTTGTTTGAAGTACCAAACATCATTTCAATGCGCTTGAATTGTTGACGGATAGGGCGCAAATATAAACAGTTCAGAAGCGTTGATGAAGCGTAGGAACTTCCGGCTCCTGTATCCAACAATGCTCGGCACTTAACATCGTTCACGTCAACTGTAACCATAGGATACACCACTCCTTTCCTTTCTACGCTCGTTGTGGTCATCAGCTGGTCTCGCGATACATTTTTGTCACAGATCGATGTATGATGTCTTCGACTGCAGATCTGGCAGCCAGAACGGCATTTGCACCCAGAAGCACGGTGTCGACTTCCTGTGCAGTTAAAACAAAGCTGTTTCAAACCTAAATGCTTCCTGCGGTCTCCAACTGTCACAAACTTGTTACAATTTACAGCTCTGTGGTCAGTTGCGTCACAGTAGACGCACCCTCTTTGTGTTGGCGTAGTTTCGTTTGCGTGAAATGTTTTTTCGCGATCGCGGAATTTAGCACCTTGCTTCCCCGCATTATCCGCGCCGCTCCCAATGGGGTTGATTTCCTTCCAACTTTTCAAAGCTTTTATCAACTGTGGGAAGTCCCAGTCCTGTCAGTCAATTTGTCCTCTCGCTAGATCTGCATTTACACCCTTTAGTTTGTCGAGCACACTCCTTGCATTTCCAGTGACGTCTTTCAATTTGCCCAGTGTCTCCAAAGATTGCACATTCATATTTCGAAATATTTATCGTTGTAAATCGACCATATTTTGTTCCCAATACTATTCCTTATAACGTGTTCAAATTTTCAACTGTCGGAAATGAAACTAAAGAATCTGCTATGTTCCGAAACGTTTTATTTTATAAAATCAACTTAATCTCCCTCTCTCTCTCACCGTTCTCTGTCTCACGCTCTGGTCTCTCTCATTTTAAATATATAATATGATCCTATTGTTCAATCATCTGTCACTTATCGCAAAAAGTCAACCGGAAATCAATAAACGCTGAAAAATCTCTCACACAACGGTTTCTCTAGTAACTTAATACCGAGTCACAGAACGCGTGACGCTTTCATGAATTAACCGTTGGCTTTTTTTTAAAAGACGTGAGCTTGGGTTGCCTGTGCTCGGAGCGTCTAGTTTCAACAAGTAAGTCGTCTCTATTTGTCGAGCGAAAAGCAATATGACCAGTTTTTAATAATACATTCGATAGGTTGAAATCTTACAGTATTAGCTTAGCGAACTTACTCACTTTCACGTAACGCGTGATTGTTTAAAAAAAGTTCTCTGTGATGTGTGATTAAATAGAAAAATTCATTGTGATGTGTGATTGGAATCCTCCCTTTGCCGCCCTCTATAATATGATTTAGAGCTATTTAGATTATGCCGACACTTGAGGAAAGGAGATGGAAAGAAGTTCAACCCATGATACGTTAATCAACCCTGCAGAAAAAAAGAAAAAAAAGAAAAAAAAGCGCAGTGCGTAACATTTTTTGGTAGGTAAAAAGGTCAATTTTCTTCTTGGTCTGACATTTGCCCAGTGAACGACAAGCTCTCCTTTGCACACAATCGGAAAAGCTAAACGCATGTTACGTGTTTTGAATATAGATTTATACTTTGCGGCTTCACCTCTGACGTTTTCGAATGCTTCGGTTTTCCTTTCCTTCCGTCGAATGAACTAGTTTAGACTTGGTGACGTCAATGGTTTCTTTATGACGTCAATTTTTCCAAGCATATATACATTACGTTTTTCTATAAATAACGATCAGGTTTTTTTCCAAAAGGATGTAAATTACAAGGATAGAATGTAGCAAACAAAATCTAAGTAATCACATGCGCAGAATAGAGTGTAGTGTTAAATGAACCCGACAAGAATTTCTCACTACGATGTAAACAGCGTTTAATTGACAGAGACCAATGTTCCTTACAAAATCAGTTAAAATGAATCACGTGCTGTAAGCAATTGGTTCATACGTCAGCGTGCGTTCATCGAGATATGAAACACGCGAGAAGTTTGGAAAGCACGAAAGATGCGTAAGAGTTGCTCGAGGCGTAGCCAAACCTCCCAAGTGCTTCATATCTCGATGAACGCACAGCTGACGTATGAACCAATTGTTTTATAACATTTTCAATTTTTTTTTCTCGACGGATTTGTTTGCTGACGTCATGAGCGTGCACAATAGGAATATAAAGCACGCTCGCGCAATTAAATTTGATTTCACAAATTTACTAGCTATGTTATAATTAGTAGTGAATCGTATGATGTCAACCTTATGCTGGTTCGAACTGAAATACAAAACGAAAATGGAAGCTAACTTTTCTAACATATCAAAAATAAAAGAATAAAAATGAAGGAACTATTGCTAACATTGCAATAACGACCGTAACATGGAAGTGTCAAATATAATCGGCACTTATGTTGATCATAAGGAAGGCTGGAAAACGATTAATAAGCTACACGGTGTTTAACTCGGAAGATAGTTTTATGTGAAATAACCTCATAATGGAGATATGGACCTAATCAAGTGCGATTCAGAGCATACCAAAAAAAAACTAACTGACCGATTTAGTAACGATATAGGTCATTTGATTGGTGATAAAGGGAGACTTAACTGAAACGAATAACAACAGAAAAAGCCTGAGAACTAAGCCTGAAAACAAGGGATCAATAACTTACCTGGTTTAGACACGCATTGGATTTGACTTGATAGAATAGATGAATAACAGTGTAGAGAGAAAGTATGGCCCAATGCCGAGTAGAAGTTGACGCAGTGGAATCTACACTTGAACTGGACTAACCGGGTAAAACCTCGTGAATATATCTAATCAAAGAACACGCAAGCCAAACCTGCTCTCGTGAATATATCAAATCAAAGAACACGCTGGCTAAGCTTAGCGATAATGACTATTACCTAACGGAAGTAGCAGCTAAGGGCTGGTCAACCACGGCAGATTAAATGAGTAAGTAAGGCCATGTTTAAAAGTGACAATTACTTGATAACATACACGGTAAAGTAAGTTTCTGCCACAAGAACTGAGATAATAACACGTTACAAAACCAAGAAAGGATTATTTACAGACATTATTTATGTCATGAATAATAATTAATAATAATTTATTACTTATATAGCGCAAAATACATGTGGATATGATCTAATGCGCTAAATGAATGGATCTAAATGAATGGACCTAAATTTGGAAAACTTGGTCTTGTTGTCTGTAAATTTGTCTGATTTTCCAATGCAGCAATTTTCATGTTTTCTACTATTCTCCCTACCGACTCACTAGAAGCCAATGTGTTTGCAAGGAACAGTGCAAAATTAGAAGTATACCACAGGCAGCCCAAGCTCCAGCTTAGCAAAATTATAAGAGTTTGTATGGGAATATTTACGACCGCTCTAAGGAATAGAAAATTAAGTCAAATTCTCAAAAAAAAAAAAAACCTCACCTTACTTCCACAATGCATTGCTTGTTATCTGACCGCTTACTACGCTCTCGCTTGATAGATCGCGCACAACAGCTCGAGGAGCTCTCTTAGAGTTCCTCGTATCTCTGCTCAGTTTCTAGTGCACGTGTTACAGCAGCACAGGCCAGTTTCAAAAAGAAAAATTCCACAAAATCCATAAAATCCTTGCAAAAAACGCGCACCTCTTTATTTCCACTTTGATCTAGGGCAGCCAGATCCCTGATTGTGTGAGAAGCTGGACTGATCCCAAACCGGAAGCTTATGATTTCAGATTCTGAACTGCCTCTGACTGACAATTTTTTAATAACTTCACTGAAAAATAAGGCAATGAAATGCTTCTCATCGAGAAATTGATTGCTCATGGAAGGGATCAGTCCTTATTATTGCCAAGGTTAGGGGGGTGGAGGATTTTGGGGTGATCACATGGTTTTCAGGGGAAGTGGAGTAAAATCGGTAAAATGAATATGAAAGCCATCTTCCCAGTAGCACCCACCACTCCCCCCCTCCCCAACAATAAATAATTGCTGGTCCCTAAAGCATACTTGAGGTGAAATCTCCTAAGTATTTTAATTACAAAGTGGTAAAAGGTCATGACAGATTGCCTTTTCTGCCTTATATCATTGGGTGTCTGGATATAATTACTTTAATGGGTCCTCTACAGAAAATTATCTAGCCTATAGAGACCAATCATTATTTAGTGCATTGGGTGAGGGAAGGGGTGGGAGGATTTTTGGGGGGATAACATGGTTTCAGGGCAAAAGGAGAGGGGATTAGTTGTCACTAACAGAGTGTCTGCCAATGAGGGGGGGATCACTTGGATACTAAGTCAGCCCTGAGATTGCTACACTGAACCTGTACTAAGCAAAAGAGTCAGGAATATATTCTTATTTTGTTATTTAGTGGTAATTAAGTTATGACAGTACACTCTGAAGGACTTTTTTCCTTTTAAAAAGAGTCTTATGACTTTTAACACATTAAGGCTCCACACATATCCAGCTAGCAAACTGGGTCAAGCAATTTTTGGGGATAACACAGTTTAAGGGAAAAAAGGGATCAGTTTTTGCTAATGGAGTTTAAAGGGGGGGGGGGCTGTAGAAACGAGAGGGGGATCATTAGAATACTGCAGAGCCTTTGGGGGGGGTCAGAAAAAATCCTTTGCTCTTCCCCTTCCCTCTCCCCCTCTCACCCCCCCCCCCCCCCTCCATCAAGTGATAAATGACCTGTCCTTATGTCAGGAGATGTTGTCAGGTATAACAATCATGCTTGAGCTATACTTGTTTGAAAAATTTTTTACCCTGCCAAGGAGTAGGCACTACAGAAAGTTGGGTCTGTTTTACTTGTCACCCAGGAAATATTAACCCCTTGGAAAAGGAATTTGAAAGAAAAAAATACTCAAACATCTTTCACCAAATTCTGGTCCCTTTTCAATATATACTAAGTTAACATTGGCACAATTACTTTGCCAAACCACTTTTTTTAATAATTGAATTATAATGGACAGAGCTACCTAAATTGTTTGATAATTGTGAAGTTTTGAATAAAACTGGGCCTTTGGTACAAAGCCAATAACATCACATTGCATTGTCCTGATCAACAAAAGTCTCCAGTAATTTAATTAAATAATAATAGAGTTAAACATTCAAGTAATGAACTTTGTTTAAATTCCACACTTTTCATCCCTAACTCTGTATGAACTTCAAAACAAAACAAAACTTGTACTCAGGAAAAACTTGTGGTTATCGGCAACAGACTCCCAATTGAGCCTGAGATTGCTACACAACCTGAACTAAGCAAAAATGTCAGGTAAAATACATTCTTTTTTTGTTATGTTATGGCAATTAAGTTAATATGATAGTCCACCCTAAAGGGGCATTTTTCCTTTTAACCCTTTAACTCCCATGAGTGACCAAGACAGAATTTCTCCTTACAATATCAGTACAATATCAAACAGACAAGTGATGAGAATAAAGAAAAATATTAATTTGGGGATTTGTAGTTGATCTAATACCAAATTGTCCAAAATATGGCAGAAGATAAGGAGAATTACTGATGAGATCTTAGGAGCTGAAGGGTTAAAAGAGTCTTGTGACTTTCAACACAATAAGGCTCCTCATGTACTAGCTACCTAACTCAAAATTTCATAAATTCCTCTTTAAATACATTTTCTGTATTACTTGTCTCCTAGCCATACTCTGTACACATGGCTAAATGTATGTAGCTAGAGTGCATTCTCTGGGGGCAGGGGGGAGGAGGGGAAGACTACATTTCCAGGCTACTCTTTCAATGCATAAGGCAACATTAGTGGTCTAGCAGATATCATCTTATAGAAATTACCATGCACAATCAGGGGTTAAGCCACTCATTAAATAACCTAGATTGAGGACATGTTATGTCAGAAGGTGAAGCATTGTACTAACAATATAAACCACTGTCAAATGATGATGATATGCTATAATTGTACAATATTACACAGACAAGTGATTAGAATAAAGAAAACTATCTATTAGGAGATTATTAGTTGATCCAATGCCAAATTCTCTGAATTAACATGACAGACAATAAGAATAACTAGTATAACTACTGACTGCTAGGTTTTTAAGGGTGTCTGATTAACATTTTAAATAGGTTTCATTGCATAATCTTCGCAGCCATTACAATCAAATTCAAATTTCTAGTTTTTAACTACATTATGAAAATAAAAAACAGATATAATGTCTCTAACCTCAGAATTCAGCACTAAGTAGAATGTTTGTATGAGTTCTAATTTCCTGCAAGTGTGAGTCATTTTGCTCTGCACGACTGATCTCATATCAAAATAAAAAATGTTCTTAATTCTACCAAATGCATAAGGATATTTCCTGAGCTTTTGAAAAACATTTGAACACATAATTTACTGCCAAATAGAACTGCTTTAATTGCACAATGTGAACAGACTCTACAAATCCTGCATAATTTCATTGTAATATTTGGGGCTATACCCTGCACATTTTCACTTTTCCTCTTCACTTAGCTGACTCAAAGAAGCAAATGTAATGATGGTTACTAATTTTCAACATGATCAGTTTCAAAAACTCGACCAACAAGAACAGCTGATACTAAAGGCTTGTTAAAGGAGTCTACACTCATAACATTTCCTGATATCGACATTGCCTCAGCTGGTATAAGTTCCACATCGGAAGCCAGAACAGCTGGAAAAACATAAGCCTTTGTTGAAAAGTTCCCCATCAGATGAAATGATTTGAATACAGTTGATGAAGTCTGAGTGGCAGTACCACAGGATGACTCCTCCATGCTGGAGCATTTTATCAAAACACAAGCCTGGAGTATGTAACCCTCTGGGTCATGGTGACCATTGAAAGCTCCTAATGCAAACATTTCTCCACTGAAAGGCTTTTGACTTTGTGTAATGTAGCTTGCATGGCAACAAAGCTCACTCCCACAGACTGAGACCTGAGCCTCAGCACTGTCAAGTTTGACAAATGTGTACATGTCATTCATCAACTTGGAATGGAACGGCACTCCTTCTTGCCATCCTTCTTGCTTGAAGTCATCATTTTTTGTTGATGGAAGTGAGACTGATTGACAAGGTTGCTGATAGCATTCTTGATTTAAATCTGGTAACTGCGCAACAAGAAGGTGTCCTTCAAATGTCTTCATATCATACACATACGATAATGGATCTCCACAAGAGTAAATTCCACTTCCTACCATATCTGCAAGAGGGAAATGCTGATTGGCTGCTAAGAGATTGACACATGTCAATCTTGACCATGCCTGTTGATACTCAACTGAAGCCATAATAGGAAAGCCATCCATCCAAGCAGTTGGAAAGACAATGTTCCGTATGCCATAGTTTTCCACAAGTTCAATCGCTGGATCACGGAAGACCATGTCGAAGCAAGTAAACACACCAAACTTGACTCCAAATGATGTCTTAAAAATTACGATTTCCGGTTTTTGGGGAGTGTTGAACGCTTTCTCGTGAAACAGGTGTTGTTTGTGATATTTTGCTAGCATTGTACCATCCGTATCGAACACAACATCTGTATTAAACTGGTATCTGCCATCTCCCGGACAGTGAGGATCTGACTTTTCGCAGTACTGCACATCACCCATATTGGCTACCACTGCAATGGAAGAGTTTTGAGCGATACAGCTTAGTTCTCTTAACACTTCAATGTTGCTATAGCGGGCTGGATCTTTGCAGGGATTCCAGCTCTTCTCCAGTTGGGAAGGATTTGGAATGACTTCCAAAAAGGGAAGAATCTGTTCACGGGTGTAATCGAAACCATATATTCCATCTTCCGGGAAAACTATGATCTCTGCCCCCTTAGATTTCGCCAAGACAGCTTTCGTCTCGAAAACAGCGAGATTTTTCTTCATGATTTCCAAAGCTCCAGAGCGAGTTACCTCTGTCTTGTTTTCTATTACAAAGAACGTAACGTGTTCGTACACCGCAGCAGTGTATTTAGATGAGCAGAAGCTGAGAGAAAGTATGAGAAAAATAGATGACAAATAAGAAGCAGTTAACTTAGACTCCATCGTGACGAAGCAGACTGATTTTACAATGTACTTTGAACCAGACGTTATTTATATTTGTGGACTGGATCCAACTAAGTTTTGCGTGACATCGAGCACAGGCCGCCCAACCTCCAGCTGTGGGATGATCATCTTGCGAAATAGGAGTCATGGCGAAATTATAAGAGTTTGAATAGGGATATTTACGACCACTCCTAGGAATAAAAAGGTACAGTCAAATTCTCAACAAAAATACCTTACTTCCATGGTGCAGGTGCTATTTATATTTATAGACTGGCTCCAACTAGGTTTCGCGTGACATCAAGCACAGGTAGCCCAAGCTTCAGCTAAGCGCTGATCACCTTACTTCCACAGTGCATCGAATATGGATAACTCGCTAAAATGGGTTCTTTTTAACATAGTAAACCGTCAGATAACAAGCGATCACTGTGGAAGTAAGGGGAGGTATTTTATTGAGAGTTTGACTGTATCTTTTTGTTCCTTAGTGCGGTCGTAAACATCTCCACACTAACTCTTGTAATTTCGCCATGACTCTTATTTCGCAAGATGATCATCTCACAGCTGGAGCTTGGGCCGCCTGTGCATTGAGATGTTTTCTACAAAGAAGTCTGAAATTTTGGTAAGGAGTCTATTTTGCTCATTCCAAGCGGGATATTATTGGGGAAAAAACGCGACTCTTCATAGATAACTCAAAAAATCCCAAACAGACAAGGTGAAACGAGTATTTTTAATACGGGGACTGGTTTGCTTTTCGTAAAAGGTAAAACTTTCCACTTATTGACCAGCAACTGATTTAAATATTTAAACTTTAAAACCTAGACCTGTTACACCTTTCCTTCTGAGCCATGCTATCGCAAAAGTGGACACTTTACCTTAAAACACCTCCGCTGTAAATATTTGACACTTTTGGTTCAAATTCCCCGCCCTACTCAGGCAAGGTTCAAATTTCCCACACTGGCACGGTCGGAATACTCGTGGAGGTGAAGGAGGGGGGGGATTGAAGCAAGAAATTAATCAAAGCATAATTTTCACTCTTGGTGTGGCAATTATTATTATAATCATTTTCATTATCATTCTTGTTATTATTACTATTCTTGCTGTTATAAATTATCATAATTATTAATGTTGTCATAACAATTATTGTTCATTAATGCACTTGTTTACGATCTTTAGGCCCTTGGGTTACCAATGGTACAAACCATTTTTTCATTGAGACTTCCTTCTCAATATTCTTGAGGTTTCAAGGAGAATATTTTTTCAGTTTGCGCTTCTCTGAAGGATCACGCGAACTACCTTATCTCGAACCCCCTCTCATTTTGGCACTCTCTCGCTCTAGAACGCCCTAATATAAATGTATTCGAAATATATAAGTATAGGTAACAACATGATTTCGAGTGCGATTTGTCGTGTTTGAAAAAATTTATAAGTGCCAAGTTAGATCAAGTTGCACAAGAAATCCTGTTGTTACTCGTTAATAATTTACCTGAAAAACACATCACAAAAGTTCAGACGGACGAAATTTTGTCAGCACTATTTGTAATTTGCGCACGTGTTACACGAAAAATGCACTCGTTTTCAACCAATCAGACGCGCCTGATTTTTTTATGTATGTTATTACAAGCCTTATCTGATACAGAGAATGTGCCCCCCTTTTTAGTTTGTTGGAAGGCGATGGCTCTTTAATTACCGTCGGGTCACAATACAGCAAAGAAGCGTCAGACTTTCATTCCTCAAGTCTCAATTGCATAAAACGTATAGTCATGTGAGTCATAACTAATTATTAAAAGTATAGTACCAGTTATCATGATGATGTTGAATTGAGTTATTTGAGCTTGCGATGGAATTAATTAAATTTGTCGTCTAATACAAATCAATGGATTCGTTTCCTGGTTCCTCGCAAACATTCGTTACGTTGCTAGAAGCGATAAGTAAGAATCTGACGGTTAATTCGTCTCTCAGATGAAGAATAGTAACCCAATACTTAAGTGGAATCGAGTGCAACAAATGTTTACAAAGTGGACATGGATTACAGCTACACAAGATAACAATAACTTATTTGGCTTCGGCTAAATTCCAAAAGAGCACTGGCTTTTATCATATTTTGCGATAAAGAAATTATTAGGGAGATCATTCTTTTATGATAAAAAAGAAAAAAACGAATTTGCCTCATAAATTAAATAAGTTAAGAGAATCTAAATCTGTTTTTGCTGATAGTCATTCGACAGATTTTGTGTTATAGTGTTAACAACATCCTCGACTTGTTCCCAGTGTTCTTGAAGAGTATTTGTTGCTGATAATCACCATTGACGCATCGTGTCTCGCTTCCATTTGGGTGGAACCATCCGCGAGGGTTTTCTGGAAGTCGCACACTAAGCTAAGATTTTCATTTTGTTAACTCGCAGTTCATCGTCACACCAGCGGACAGACTCAACTCGCAAAGATTTATTGTAGTAGACCCAATCAGATCCCTGCGTTTCCTGGGCAATTGGACAAATCTCTCATTTTTGATGATCACTTCCAAGTACTTACTGCTCAACTGGTCGAGACCGATAACGTATTCAAAAGTTTCGTTAAAAACGGGATTCAGACTTCCGGCGTAAAAATCCGTCTTGCGAATCGATTTCTTGGAGCGAGAAGGTAGCAGATTTATCTGTACGTAAGGATTCGTTTTGGACAAAGGTTCTGATGACACAAGTTCCTTTGCACTGAGTACAGTGACGACCAATCTGTTTCTACGATGATCGTATATAAGCCACAATGATACTTCTCCCCGGGACATATAATCCCTAACCGAAGCCTCGGGACTTTGCCCGTTAGACGTGTCACCTACGATGCTCCCACTGGGAGACGAACCGGAACCGGAACTGCTACCAGACGTTTTCTCGGCGGCTCTGCTGCTGTCGCTCTCGGTGCAAGTGGAGGTAGGTGGATCATCTTGACCATCCACTTCCGGTAACATTGTGGGCGTATCTGTTCTCTGGAGACAGATTTTATTGTTGTGTAAAGCGTTAAACTTCCGGCCAAAGTGTAAAGGCATTGGTGCATTGGAGGTGTCTGAAGTCTTCAATGCGCGAAGGATGAACTTGCACTCAACACTTCCGGTCTCGTTACTCAGCCGGAAAGAGTCTTGTAGAGCCATTTCTGGTTCCTCTATCAGCTTTCGAACAGTGAATACCATAGATCCCATGCTCCTGTTTTCGTTACCATCCATGACTTCAATACGGGCCTCTTCGTGGGGATCTGTAAGTAGGAATCGTAAAGACTGCCCCCAGACCGTTTCATCTCCGTGCGCAAGAAAACTGTTTAGCGTTGTATCTCCAACGGATACCTTACAGAAAACTTTTCTTGTCACAGCTAACCTGGATGAGGTTGGGAGATTTTGCGCTTTGATCAGTTTAACAAACAGCACAGCTACGGACTCCTTTCCCTTGGTATATCTAAAATGCAGTGGATCACTGCTCAGAGAAAACCATTCCAGGTTCAAATGGATCTTTCCCTGTTTGGCTTTTTCTAAAGGCAGCCAGATTTCTTGGACGCCATCCTCCACCACAGAACCAATTTTAATATCGACACTTCCAATTTTAGAATCTTTCGAAGCAATATCACGGTCGTAGAGGTAGATTTCTAATTCTTGGCCAATGGAATTGTCTATGAATGACTCAAAGGTTTCCTCCCACGCCGGATTTGAAGTATTGTTCTTCGTTTCAGTGCGAAACTTTTGCGCACCAACTTCCATGATGACGTAAGGGTCGGGAGCACCTCCGCCAATCAGTGAAAAATCAGACTTTACCAGTTCCCGCGCTTCCAGAATTTGCACACGTAGGAGGCCCTCCGGGATTGGGTACTGCAGATCGCTAAGGTCCACGCTCTCAGCCAAGGGTATCGTAATCCTATTGGGCAAAACTGCAAAACTAGCGATGACGTCATCAACAATGCCACGCAAAGTTGTCTTTAATCCGGGAAAATCTAACACATTCAACAAGTTTGTCAAATTGAAAGCGATTCTGGGCCTCTTGAGAAAAAAGAGTGTCACACCGCCGACGATAGTTTGATCGGAGATAAGAGGTTTTAAGATAATCCGAAGCGAGCCGTGTATTTGAAAATCGGAGATTCCCAAAGTGACACTTTTGATTGTTACTTTCACCTGCGCATCACCATTGTATGTGACATCGACGTCCATTACAATTTCAGAAGCTCTCTTTTCTCTGTTTCCACTTCCATATGATTTTATATTTCCGATGAAAGGAGGCTTTTGCCCCAACTCGATTTTGTCGAAGGAAAGAGTCTTCAATGCCGAAGGAAGGTTTTTCTGTATTTCAGGCTCGATACGTTCCTTAATTATATCTTTTGTCATTTCTTCGATGGAGGGCCACAGTTTTTTAATCAACTCGTTCAGCCACGTCGCGCTTTCTGTCTCCGAAAGATAAACAGATGGTATTGGGAAACTTTTTATCTTGAACAAATTTGCTTCATCCGTCATCTTACGGAAGTTTTGACGCTTCCGTTTAAAAAATTCTGAACGATATTCTCCAAAAACATAGATCAAAACAAATATCATTATCCATGCGAAGCTAATATTCCAACACCCAAACAACCACAGCATGGAAGCGACAAGAAAATGAATAATAATTTGGGTCCGATCGATCCCTACCAATGCTTGAAACATTTTCGATGAAGTATTCCTGTTTTGTTGATGTTCCATTGCGCGTCTATCGACGATCTGTCGTCTTTCTGTTGAATAAAAATATATTGATTCTAATGTATATGTTTTGAAGCAAAAGCAAGGAAATGTATTTTCCTTTATTACTCAGAGACGGGAAAACGAAAAAGCCACACTTTATAACGCATTTGTGTAAGATATTTTTCGAGCAAGCAAGAGAATGAAAAAAATCAACCCATTCGGAAAACCAAAATCGCCCAAATTTAAATAACTCACCGACCTACGCCAACATTATAGTAAAAGACCAATGGTTCGACGAGATCTGTTTACAGGCGCACAAGTGACTTGTGATCAATTCTTGTTAGGCTTCTATGGACATTTGCATCTCCCCCAGTTGTCTAGATTACTTTGCGTTTATTTGCACGTGGCCAAATGTCTGTTTTGAGAAACCCCCAACTTGCGATCTTTTGTGTGCGAAAGCTTTTCTCCACTTGTTCAGCCAATCATGGATTGATTTTAATCCATTGATCTCTGACCGTAACCATTTATAATTAGGGGCTTATGCAGATCAGCGAGCTACTTTCATCTCTTTCACCTTTCATGATCATGAATTTTTAATCAGCGTCGTTCAGCACTGACGACTGAGTTTGATTGTGCACAGAACTCACACTTTAACGATGAAGTGAGGGCCCTTATAAAAATAAACATATGATAAGGCAGATATCTACTCGAAAAATACTACATGTGTTTGTTTGCATTGGATCTGCGCATCTAAAAAAAATATTGTTTGGAATATTTCTACTAATTTAAATTTTTGACCATAAACTATTTCTTTATTTCATTGTATTTCATGGTCCAGATGTTTCTTCTTTTCTCCATATTAATGTTTTCCTGGCTGTCTCCAAAGCGCTCGGAACGCTTAAGAGGCGCCAGCATTTTTCAGTGAAAGATTTCAGTATATCGTGTCCGTTTCCTCCCTAACATGACTAACATGTTCATCTTTTCACAGTTGTTGGACTTTCGAATTTAGGCGAGCGCCTGCCTATTTAAAACACTTTTTTGCTTTTAATTACACGAGTCTGGTATCTTGTAGCCCATGTCACGTTAATGCTCTTTCTCCCGCTTCCAGACTAAACCGATTTCCATCTATATTTCCGAAAACACACTAACTAGCATCATAAATCTAAAGATTCTTAATCGAGTGACTTCATACATTACCAGAGGTTTCAATAACTTTTTCCATAAGCGGCCGCCGGCTGTGCTCGGAAAAGGGACAGTAAGGCGAAACCCAAACAGAAGGGCCTGCTTGCAGACTTAAGAGACGGCGGTAAAAGGTTTTAAAGGCGGAGGTACACCACCGGTCCGGTGAATAGCTTTAATTGAAACCTTGTATTAGTCACACCTGCCTACATAAGGATCGATAGATTCACACGACTCGGCTAAATGCCCTGGGCTTGTTTCCCGTCGAGGTGCTTCAGAAATATGCCTTAATGGAACCCTTAAAACTATAACTAGGTCGTTATGACTTAAAAGCACCCGCCTCATCGTTTATTTTTTTTTCTCTTTAAATTCTATCTTGGTGGGGCATATCTTAAAATTATATCCGATTTACGGTTTACCAAAACTTAACAAAAAATAGAGAAAATTATCAATCAAGTGAAACTTAATTTTACTCCCCCTTAAATACAATGACTTTAATAAATCATAAAATTATAATACATTATTTCACAAAGTGGTTTCTTTACTAAATCGGTTTCTTTATTATGACCCTTAAATGTAAAGCTGTTCTAATCTACTGGCCTTCTTTAGGTCGTTTCGAAGCCCTGTTTTTAATTCAGCCGTGGCAGCAGAATTTCTGCCCGCCCGCAAAAAGCTCCACGACATATTTTTCTCGTGTGTACTTGTCATGCAAAGCAACACAAGAGCGTGTGCCAGGAGCGAAAAACCCTTGTGTGTATGGGTCTTTGCCGGGGCGTAAGCCGTGCGTGTGCCTGCGAATACCAACCTTCATTTGTTTCAGCAATTTTTCATACGATTCAAACAGTACTTAGCCTCACCCTTTTCCTTTATGAAACGGTCATAGTTTACATCTGGCCTGATGAAGGCACTTCATGTCAGAAACTCCCTCTACCCTCCCCCCCCCCCCCTTCCCCACTCCGCGCGTTATTCTGTCACGCTCTGGTACGCGTAAGATTATGATTGATTATGTATTTATCTGAATATTTTTACATGAATTTTTTTTGTTTGAAAAGCGTTTGCATTTGGCTCAAGTCCAGTCTGCCCGTAAGCTTAAAACGCGTTGAACCTTCTTGCATCGCCCAATCGTGCAAAAAATGTAAAATATACATTTGCCAGCATAAATGATATTAGGACACGCTCGATGCTTATCGTAGTTGACTGTAGGTTTCTAAGGTATTCAAATGCCCGTCTGTACGTGTCACTGTTGAATAATTAGCCTAGACTTTTAAAGCTGATTGGCTTATTAGGTGTTTATTTCACGCAACAATGGAATTGAATCTTGATGACCTTTGAATAGGGTATAAATATCTATCCATGCATGTTGTTTTTCGTCTGGGCGTATTAGACGTGTGCCAAATAATCTGTGGCTTGCCTTTTGTTTGGAGAGGAGTTTTACGTCGTTTTTTAGCCTTACCTGACGGGTTTGTGGTCAAATTTGTTCAAGCGAACTTCAAGGATCATTCATAAAAGTCTCATACCGGGAGGCTGAAAGATAACAGCCCCGTGATTTCGATTGCACGAGAACTTTCCCTCCCAAGTAGCACTCGAACAAACATCAAATTGTTTAGCGTTTGATTTGCGACATGGCGGACACAACTTCGACGACAGTTACCGCTCCGAAACCAGCCCACAAGCGAATTCTCCACAACTTGAGGAATATTTCGCGCGACGAAATTAAAGAGTTGCTTCTTTATTTTGCTGTCACGCTCTCTCTCTTTCTGGTCGGCCATTTTCACTTCAGCTTCGCATGGATTATCATGATTCTTATGGTGTTCGTTAGCTGGGAATATCAGATGGACGAGAAGAACAAGCGAAGGGATCGCATGGAAAAAGCCCTGAAGTCTTCCTTTATCGATAAGATAGAGAATCTTCCCTCCTGGGTCTACTTTCCAGAAAAAGAGCAAGCAGAATGGGTTAATAGCATCATTGATCAAATGTGGCCCTACGTAGACGGCATGGTGTACAAAATTCTTAAAGAAACTGTCGAACCTGAGATGCAGAAGAACATGCCCAAAGCCCTGAACACGCTGTACTTTGAAACAATCGACCTCGGGAACAAGCCACCTTACGTAGCGAATGTGAAGTCGTATCCTAGCAAGGAAGAGAGGAAATCGGAGTTTATTTTCGATATGGATATAGTGTACAATGGCGATGCTACAATCAAGCTTGCAGTCAAGAAAGTGAAACTGGGCCTGTCTAACATTGAACTGCGTGGAGTGCTCAGAGTCATTTTCAAGCCGTTGGTTGCCGAATACAACCCTGTTGGAGGCGTTACAGTGTTTTTCTTGAACAGACCCAAACTAAAATTCGATCTAACCAATTTATTGAATGTTCTGGATCTTCCTGGGCTCAAGAGCTCTTTGCGCCGAATCACAGATGACGTCATCGCCTCCTTCGTGGTGCTTCCTAATCGTGTCGCCGTTCCCCTCGCTACGGGTGTCGACGCCAGCGATCTTCAGTATCCAATCCCTGAAGGAGTCCTTCGTGTGAAAGTCGTGGAGGCGAAGGACCTGATAGCGAAAGATATCGGCTTCGTGAAGAAGGGAAAGTCTGATCCTTACGCCATAATTCGCATCGGTGCTCAAAGCTTCCGCACCAAGATGATCTCAAACGATCTAAATCCCGAATGGAACGAAACCTTTGAGGCGTTTGTGGATAACAGTGAGGGGCAAGAGCTTGAAGCTGTGATCTACGATGAAGATACATCTTCAAAGGACAGCAAGATTGGTCGACTCGACACCGAGATTGTTTCCACAGTGGAGACTGGCCATCAGGACCTCTGGCTACCGCTTGAGGGTGTCAAACAAGGGAGGGTCCACTTACAGCTAAACTGGTTCCCGCTCAGTGCCAATGCGTCAGACCTAGAACCCCCTCAAGGGGAGGGCCTCTCAGTAGCAGCGCTCATCGTGAAACCCATCTCTGCCGACGCCTTACCTCTCACTAGTGGTCAGAAGGAAGCCCTGAGGAGTGTTTACTGCGAGATCACAGTCGGCAAAACCACTCTGCAAACCTTCCAGTGCTATGGAGAGAAAACCGAATGGAAACAAGCATTGCGATTCCTCGTTGGCGACCCTGGGGGCCAAGAAGCTGAGGTTAAAGTGATCGAGGCCAAGGGCACCAAAACATTGGGTAAAATGTCGTTCGATATCCGCAAGCTGCTGAGCAAAGATGGTTTGACCGTGGAAGAAACCTTTCCCTTGAAGGAATCTGGCGAGAAGAGTACCTTAACCTGCCGCTTCACCTTGAGGGTCCTGAACACACCGGATGTTAATCCAAGCGAGCCTGAAACGAGGTAATTCAATGTTGGAACTTTTTTTCATTTCTACGTATAACATTTACAACTGAAAAAAGGACTGGTACTTCTAAGAGGTGATAATTTTTTTTTGGCATTTGAATTTAGGTGATATTTTTGTTTACAAATTTGGTGTCGATATTTGAGCTCTTTTTTAAACCCAACAACTAGGGGTTAGTCAATCTAATTTTAACAGTTTTGAGTGATGGACAGAAATTCTGATCTGCTATCATGTACGAAATAGTGCCTTGGTTTAGGTGGATGATTTCTTCAGACTGAAATGCTGAGTACATGCGATGGTAGATTTGGAATTTTGTAGTTCATCAGGACAACTAAGTCTTATTGATAGTTTTGCATCTTCTCTGTACAGCGTCCTAATGATAATTTACGTTGTTGTATTGAGAAGTTTCAATTCATATATGGCTATTGGGTTGACTTCACTTAAACTGTAAAAGTTTTTTTCCACAGTAAGGAGTGTCTCGGAAATTTGAATGTAGGTTTGCACTACAAGGAAATATTTGCACCTGTAACTACTCCAAAAAAAATAAAAGCTTGTTAAGTGCAGGTTTAGCAAAAGTGCTCGAGATCATCGCAGATTTGTGATGATCAGGTAATTGTACACAGCGTGTCACGCAGTTCTGTCACGCAGCATGCTGCGTGACAGACTGCTTTCAAAAACGATTGTTACCTTTCGTGCGTTGACATTCTCACAAGACATCCATGAGATAACGAAGACTCCATCTAATCCTTCCACTCCTGAGAAATAATAACTGAAAAAACTCTCCTTAAAATGGTATTACAATGTAAATTAATCAAATTGTGATGAGAACTTTTAAGCTTATCAATTATGGAAAATTGTCATGATATTTCTCCAAGTTCTCGAGACAAGCCAACGATAGAATAATTTTTTTTAAATTAGCGGAATTGGCTTTAAGACCTTCAGCCAGAATTCAAATTTTATTTTTCTACTCTTGTTATTTTTTTCGTAGTCTAGGAGATATATTTTTTGAACAGCTCGGATTTTCTGATAGCATTTCGGAGTTTTTCCGGTCTTTGACCCCTGGCTGTCTTGTGGATATCAACCCAATTCATTGTTTTATGAGGTGAATGCATGTATTTGTAAAGAGGCTTCAAGCACTAACAGTTTTCGTGACCACCGACTGAATCTACTGTAATGTAACCTCTCTGTAGCAAAAGAGCTCATTAAATGTGGGTTTGCATTTTTTGTTTAGCTGTTCCTTGTGTCTGTGATTTTTCGGGCACTAATTCGCTCAGCTTTAATTAATCCTTCTATTTCTTTACACGAAGAATAACACCTTACCCTCGACAAGCATGATTATTTTGTCGTAAGTTGGACTAACGCGCTTTGTAGAGGCAAGCATCAATTTGAAATAATTATTCTGACAAATTGACCTCGGTGCGAATTTTTTTTGTAGTGCAAATACTAAATTTACAAATCACCATGCTCCTCACGTGACCACAGTTATACCTTGCACGTGTCAACTCGAACGTTTTGCGGGATATCCCGTTTCACTTAAACCCACTTGCGCGCGACGCCCTCTTCTCTCCGAGATCTCCGCCTTGTTTGGAAGCTACCCCTTCACAAAGGGTCACGGTCGCTGAATTTAATTCCAGTTGAGAACTGTAAGACGCGCACAAAAGATGACAGACTTGCGTGAGAGAGCACGCTCTGAAAAGCGTTGCAGTTTCTCATTTGGGACTCTACACCTCTTCTGCTACCCCTTCGCAAAGGGTCACGGTCGCTGAATTTAATTCCAGTTGAGAACTGTAAGACGCGCACAAAAGATTTCATGTTGGATTTGTTTGGAGGCGACCTGTGAAATACTAGGTCGAGTACAGTAGGTGGAAGCCCTACGCGAAAAATGAATGAAAAAAACCAACAAATTCATCCGCTTCGTGGTTTAAATTGTTCTGCTTGGCTTTTGTTCTCTTTTAACCCTTTAACTCCCAGTTGTGATTAAGATGAAGCTTCTCCCAGTAATATCCCATACATTATTCAGCAAACAGGTAATGAGAATATTCAAACTTATCAGGTAAAAGCTGCTGTCTTGATCTAGCACCAAGCTCTCACAACTAATTTACAAGGAAATGTGTAGCAGCTAGAGGGGAGAATTTATAATCGAATCTTGGGAGTTTAAGGGTTAAAAAGCTGCCACAAAATTTTATTTTCATCTGTGCAATGCAACTTTCTAAGAACTTCGGGTTCAAAAAAAGGACAATTGTAATCGTTTTGCTAAATTCTCCGTGGAAGCAAACCTCGATTTCGTGTACTCGACCCACTTTTCTTGGACGGCACCTAAGCACATCGATTTTTAACCTTTGGATGGCTGTGGATGTCAAGGAAACGGCTGAGTGTTTTTTTTCTTTGCTTGACCCTCGCTATTTTTTTCGCGGCCCCTTCTATGTTCGTTTAACTAACCAACAGCCTTGCATAGGCAAATCAGTCCTTCTTCGTCCGTTGCAATGACGCGCATGCGTTCGGCCGATCGCCTCCCACAAACCTCCAGGCAAGCCTCTACCAACGTGAGCGTTTTCAACCTCTTAATTCCCAGAAGAGATTAAATTGTTACTTCTCCCTACAAAGCCAATATATTATCCAGCAAACGGGTAACGAGATAACTCAAACTTGTTCGGTAGAAGCTTGATCCAACACCCAATTCTCATAACTAATTTACAAAGAAATGTGTAGCAGCTAGAGGGGAGAATAAACAATCAGATCTTGGGGGTTAATTAGTTAAACCCGGAATCAAAAGGGGTCAACCCTTTTACATACAGGAACTGTACTTGCATAGTCCCCTTACGGGGTTAATCCACTGTCAAATAAACAGGTTATAATAAGAATTTAGAGAATCTCAGAAACGGGATGTTGTTTGTAAAATACAATAAATTTCTTAGGACCGGCTAAGAAACAAATCTCTTTTCATCTGTTTGATGGAATTAGCTTACAGATCTTGGTTTGGTCTGCTCTGTTTGTCGCATACATCGTGAACGATCGTTTTTGAAAATTTTTTGTAATATCAAACAATCAATCCTGGTTAATAAGTTTCTCTCTTTTCATGACTTTTTTGCTTTTGGTCGCTTTGTAATTGTAAAGTTTGTGGTACTGAGAAATTGAATTTTCTCAAAATGAGCAGAAAGATCCTGTCCGCGGGACTCCTGAGGCGGGGCGCTGGAGATAGTGTACACTTATGGATTTTTTAAAGAAACTTTGAATTTTGATCGACTCATAAAATCATCTCACCATTGTAGGTCTAAAGCTGAAGTTGATGCTGGACTCACGAAACCAGAGATTCCCTTGGCTCACTCAACTCCAATACCAAAACTTGTTATCAATGGGGTTAATCCTGAAGAACAAGCGGAAGCAGGTGAAGAACACGACAAAGATTCTGACGCCGGAAGTGTCTATGACGGAAGTATTTATGGCACCGAGAGTCAACGAACGGATTCCAATGACGACTTGACCAATAAGGGTCAACTGGATTTGCACTTAAAGTAAGTGGCTAGTCTAGAAATAGGTGCAAATAGTTAGAAGAATTTTCAATTGAGAGTCGAGAGTACGGGTCGCTCTTCACTTCGGATAGTCCGCGGTCTGCAAGGATCATTGTTGTTCCCAGGGAAAACATGACTTGCGAAATAAAATATTGAAAATATTTACCAAAGAAAAACCGCATTCGCAAATCGGAGATTTCATATTCAAACTCACTCGAAATATCCATCTGCGGCGAATATCCCCGCCTGCCACTCGACAAACTAGAAAGTGTGAAAGTATCACGTCTTTTTTTGTACTTGTCCTTCTGCGTGAACAGAAAATCGCCGAAACAATTCCCAGCAGAAATTTCATTCCTTTTGAACCGCAAAAATCCGTTCCCGCAACACTGAAATTAATATCGTACATTCTTAAAACAAAACATACTGTTAGTGCAAAAGTTCTTATGCAACATAATGTATGACTCAAGTTTCGAGTGTTTTATTTAAACGTGTTCTGGTTCCAAACAAAAATTTTAAAGTATGCTTTCAAAGACCGAACACTCATACGAGACTGAAATTTGTGTTTTACTCGACAAGTATAGAATGCAAGAGATATTTCCTTAGTGACATTAGCGAGTGATTTTACTGAGCTGGATGTGAGAATCAAAATCAACACGCTTATTGACTTCCTAGATACAGTCATTTGAAGAACTGCCTCTCCGTCACCGTCAAAAGTGTTCGAGAGCTCGTGTCTCGTGACTCGCCCGGCAAGACCAATCCATTGGTGCGCCTGTACTTGTTACCAGATCGCTCCAAACGCTCCCGGCGCGTCACAAGAGTGATGAAAGGGACCTTGAACTGCGTGTTTAACGAAACCTTTGAGTACATGATTGGCCTAGATCAACTGGGCACGATGAAGATCGATGTCGCAGTGAAAAGTGACCGTGGATTTGCGATTGGACGGGTGCGGCATCGACTGATTGGACTCGCTGTGGTGGATTTGTCTGGAAAGCATCTCACTGAAGGGTGTGACGTCAGTTGTGAGCTTAGAAAGTTTAGCTTAACATTTTGAATGGTTCTGGAGAAAATGGATCAATGTCAGTGTCTGAGCAACGGCATACCTACCGCTCTCCAAGCGAACATTAACCCTTATTATCAGTTGAGTGTTGTTGTGTTAGGGGAAAGGTAGGTAAGCAGTTTCGCAGATACTTAGTTTGCTCCGAGAAAAATAGCTTTGTAGAATTGCTTCAAGCTGCGTTGTGTTGCTTTCAAGAAGAAGATAGGAGTATGAAAAGGCAACGCACGCTATGGTAAAATGAATTGTGTAGGTAGTTTGGCAGCGAGAATAACCTACACCCAAAACGTAGTGCACTAGCAATACAAGTTTTAGAAACTAAAAGCTTTCGTTAGCAAGATATCTTTTATGTGGAAAAATCGATGTATTTATTTCAAGGAAAGTGTGATAGGAAAGTGTATCTTCTAAGTAGTTTTAGTCATACATTAGTGTTGTTAAGTTAACTATAAAAGTTTTTTAACTTGAAGAGATAAAACGTACTCGAATCTAATTTTTAGAGCGCTTTTAATATATGTAAAACAGAGAAATAAACCGGTGCATGTGTGATATGTCTTTTTGTACACATGTACTGCTGTTCACATAAGGGAATGAGGCTTCACTCCATGTAAACGCTCGGAAAATTTATGCCTTTGCGTGACATATTAAGTGCCATGTCACAAAGGCCTACTCCGAAATAGACTTCAAGGATTCCCTAATCTACTCCTTTCCGTGAAACAATAAAAGTCGGCGAAAAAATATCCTAGCTCAGCGTGGACTCTGGGAAACGTTGACGGTTGCCGGGATCTCTGGGAAATGTTCACGTAGAGATATCTGGGAAATGTTTACGTTCACGCGCGTCACGGGGTGCCAGACTATTATTTTAACCCGGTGCAGCAAGGATTCTTGTCTTTTCAACTCGGAAATATAAAATTTAAGTGTTTCCAAACGAATTTAAAGCCGCAAACTTCCGATCGAAAGTTCTAATGCTCTCCTGTGGCAATCTTGAGCAGAATAATGTGGATTTTAGCCGAACGACTTCACATGTTTAACGAAAATGCAATGAAAAACTCGCCATTTTCCTTTATTAAAATGAGGGAACGGAGGTTGGATAAAGAAATAAAATCTTAAAAGTTCATTCGATAGTACGAATGCTGTCTGTAGTATAGGTTCGTGTTTGTAATATCGCTATGAAATTCATTTCCGGGAATAGCTAATATCGGAGTAAGGCCAACATGACCGGAAGCGAGAACTATACAGCCTTCTTCAAGAAAAGAGAAAATGCACCATTCTGCTCCAATTCAAATTAAAATTGAGAGTGCCAAATGGAATTTCATTTATTGTCTAGTGAGCGTTGCTTAGAGCGAGTCGATTACTCGATTTGCGGGTGTTAAAGGAAATGAAAATTTGAGTGTGCCCTGGGTTCTACTATAAGTTTCCACTGAGCCCGCGACAAATCAAAGAGTTGCGCGGAGCTCCGCGGAGCGTAAAAACAGTTCATAGCACTAACTACGGCAAGAAATTTTATTAGGCTCAAACTATATATCTGTGCTGTTTGTGACGCCTACCCACTTAGAACTGTTCTATCTCAACGTCAATTTCAACGTATCTGCCTTCAGGGACTTGTTTCTTCGAGCGATATCCCATTTTAACACGCGTATCTTGAGGCACACAACATCAGCCGTAGTTTTGACATTGTAAGACCGGCAAGCTTCTCTCGGCCATTCGAGAGTTGAATGGCTTTTGATCAGAGCATTTCCTGGTTTCAGCAAAAGGTAAGATTCTTCTTGATACATGAACAGAAAAAGAAAATTCTGAAGGGAATTATTAAGTTTCCTTTGTGTTATTTACACTGCGCGCAAATCTTAAATTTTTCGGTTACTGTATGCGAAATAGATTCAATTTTGAAATATTTTCAATCTTGGGTGAAGTACTCTCCATTCTATGCTTGAGTGTAAGCTTATTTATGTTGGATTCTGAAACGAAATATTCTTTTTTTCTTTTCTAAACAGCTGAATTCGGTCCAAGCAATAAGTGTGTTTATTTCAACTTTATCTGATTTGCATAAAGCACTTGAGAAACTCTAAAGGCGCGACGAAAAGCGCCGATCGTTTCTCCGTGATGTGTACTTGGCCAATTTCACTGCTCCCTATCAGATATTTTCCCTAAATTTAAATTCCATTCCTTTTGGATTCAAAAACGTCATCGAGGTTAAGGAATCGAGGTTTACCTTTAAATCAATATTCAGGCTCAAATCAATTGGTTAATATTGAGCTAAGCTTCTGCAGTTTTAAACCTAAAATTATTTAAATCGCCTCCCGCTTTGCCCCCTTTGAGTTTGGTTTTATTTGCGACGGTAAATGTCGGTCAATACGGTACGTAGTCAATTTTTCAGCTGTGTTTATTATCTAAGAATAGTGGACTGTGAGCATATCCACATCCTGATTGGTTAAATTGTTTTGTCTATGTTTCAATCATTGATTTTCTTGGGGAAGACGTTCATGCTAATTTCTTGGTAATAACTTTGTTCGTCGGGCGAAAAAAACTTTTTAAGTTAGCCATATTTTGGTAAGATTTCATTGGGAGAAATTTTTAAAAAATCTGAATTTCGAAAGGGCTTTTTTTATATGAATATTATTTTGCTAAACCGGCATCTGGATGTTTGATTACACAGAGATTAGCAGCAATTGTTTACCAATACAGCAAGTGTGAAGGTATTGGTTAAATAAGATTAAGTCTGATGAAAGCTGTGGTTTTCTAAGTAACTGCATAATTAAAGTTGGTCACTGGAGACAGAATGACACCAACCATGCTGTTTAAGACATCTGTGACTGTTACAAATTTTTTATTTGTTTACTCATTTGTTTCCCGAGTTTGTCTCTCTGATTCAATGGCTGCTATTAATGTCTAGCAGATTTTTTTCCATTTCTAAAAAAATTGGAAATTTGGTCACCAAATTTGAATTAATTTCTATATAAAAAAATTTTTCTATTCCATAAATTTGCCCACAATAAAATGTAAACACCATTTTTTCAAAACCTCAAAGCAGAATATTAAATCATGTTCTTAGTTAATTACAATTTGAGTTCAACCAATTTCTGTAAGCCTGGTGAATTTAGTATTATGACAAAACGCAACATGGTGGAAAGGATAATTTTGCTACATGTTATATCAGCACTGTAATTTATCCATACAACATTCAGAATCAGAATTTTTCAGTTGCCTTTTTTTAAGATTTTATATTTTGAAATTAAAACCCACCCATTAATTGTTGCACAATTCTATCAGTTTCTTTACATCACATGGTGTATTTAATCCTCCCTGACAGTTTTGATGCAAAATTTCACTTTTGCCCTTGTAGCTTTGCTTCTCAGCCAAATATTCAGCTTTTGAACATCACACAATTTCCCAGGGCTTGACATTATCGGCTGACATACTGTGGCCTGAAGGTTTTAATTAACTATTCACAATGAAATTAAAAGAAGTAAATTAGATTAGAGTGCACAATTTACTTGAGATGTCAGTAACCTTAAAAGCTGATGAAATATAATGTAGGTAAACACTCTTTGGGTAATGTAAGTCTTTAATGCAACAGTCAAGAATAATTGTTTGAAGTTTTTTTATTAGTGATCAGCTCATAAAATGATTTTATTTACACAGATACAGTTACATGTTCATGGGTTTTGACTCGCACTTGCATTTGAAATTTTATTTCCTCCTTACCCATCAATCTTTCTGTTGATGATTCAAATCAGGATTGTCTTAGATGAAAACAAATCTTTTGTAGCCTCTGATTTTACTGTACAAGGCTTTTAAAGCCTTCCTTTCCCATTTTTGTTTTTCTTTTTTACTTGCTTGTTTTGAAGTATGGTTTTCTATGTATTTTTAGCTCGGAAAGTATGATAAAGCTTCATGGGAAAGAACATTTGAAGTACAAGAGCAGGAGACGGTAAGTAAACCTGTTAACCTTTTCACTCCTAATATTTCAATGAAAACTCTCCTTATTGTCTTGGTTCAACTAACAATCTCCTAGTTCATATTTTTCACTATTTTCATCACCTGTTTGCTTGACATTGTACTAATATTGTAAGGTGAAATTCTGTGTTGGTCAGTCCTGGGCCCAGTTCAAAGGCTGTAGCAATAGTCCATGGTTAAATGTTAATCTGCATTTTTTACAATTATTTTTTTCAAAAGCCTTTTTTGGATCATTTTCTCTGTTTGTCTCAGAGCATCCAATCATCATATTGTAGACAAAAAGAACTGTAGTTCTTTTACAGCTTTTAGAACTGAAATCAGATTTCACTCTAACCCTGGGTTATCTTTACCCAGCTTTGAACAAACAGGTGCTGGTAGTGGAAGGGTTGCTAACTTAATCAATCAATAATTAACTCAGCAGTGATGGCTTCTTGTCTCACTCACTGAAGTAAGCTGACTAACCTTAATTCAGGGTTATCTAACAAGGCTATTTGGGGCAAAAATAATTACCATGAAAATTTAACATTTTTGCTCAGCTACTCTGCTTGACTTTTCCTGTCATTCATGGTTTTTCTTACCAACAGGGTACCTTTATTCATGTTCCTAAGAAGCCTGGTGGTTTAAAACCTGAACTGATAGATGTTGATTTAGTTATTGGTATGTATATGTATATCAAGAGTGTTAAGTGTAGAATTTATCATGAGTGTTATAAATTTTGTCTTTTTACTATTGGGTTTGCTATTTCTGTTTTGCCATCACTTGTGTCTGAGCTTAATTGGTTCTGATTAATAGAATCTGTTGCTAGTGAGTGTACAAATGTTAAGATGACTGCTTGAACAGACTTGAATGAATACTTCATAACTTCGGTAACTAACAAATCACTATGGACAATCTTTTGAGACAATGATGTATTTTGATTCACAAATTAGGAAAAGGGATGAAAAACTAAAGGGCCAAAAGAGAGGTGAAAAAATAATCAAATACAGAAATGCAATGATGAATATTTCCACTAATAATGGAAAAAAAGAAGTAAACAAAAAAATTACAAATTCCAAGTCCTTATACTCACATTAATTTTATAATATGACCCTGTACAGCCACGTACATGCATGGAGGGCTATGCATTGACTCATTTACTATATTGAGTGGAAAAAGATGTCATAAACTATTAGCATATCACTGAACTTTTATTCTTCACCATTGCAATAATTGCTTAGGTTCAACATTTCCCAAGACAAAGCCAGTTCATAGTTGGTTTGCTGTCACACAGAAAGGAGTGTGTAGAGTTCTTCTGTTTCCATTTTTCCGATCATGGTAAGGAAACCTTGATAGCTGCTGAAATTGAAATTTTGTGCCTTCTGCCATCCAGGACTCTGTGAAATTTCACAGTTGCCACTGCTATCTTCATGATTGCTGTAGGACTCTTGTGATCAAAAGAGCTATTGTTTCATGTTTAACTTAATATAGTACAGTGGAAACTGTATAAGGTCATGTGAGCCTATACAGGGGTTCCAAACCAAACTGGCTACCACCAGAGTTCTGCCAGCTACTTGATAACATGTTGTTGGTTACTCTGGTCAAAATAATTACCTTTTGGCAGCTTAATGAACATTTCACAGTTACATAATTTTGGAGAGTCCATTACACCACTATGAAACATTTTGAAAGCCTTGCTATAAGGCAGTTAGTGATAAATTCAAACATCAATATTGCTTGTATTTGTTACCAATATTTGTTACATTTGGTGCTTGTTGCCCATTTGTACTGATTGAAGGAACTTCTTGTAAGTTAGAAGAAATTTTGTCAGTTTATCCCTTTACACCCTAACATCAGTATGCATATTCTCCATACTGTTCTCTATACATTTCTAAGGAGCAGATAAGGAGAATCTACCTAATAGTCAAGAGCTTCTTCAGTTGGTCTGATCATTTCCTTTATTCTCATGACCTTAATGTTTAATTCAGGAGTGATAATGTAAGGAGAAATTAGATGCTAGTCACTCTTAGGGATCAAAGGGTTTGTGGTAACTTGTTCTAGTAGTAGAGACTTCCTTTAACCCTTTAACTCCCATTAGTGACCAAGACAGAATTTCTCCTTACAATATCAATACAATATCAACCAGATGAGTGATGAGAATAAAGAAAAATATCAATTTAGGAATAATTAGTTGATCCAATACTAAATTCTCTGAACAAACATTATAAGAATTGTATGGTTGACGGTAAGGAGAATTTCAAATTTGATCTGGGAGTTAAAGGGTTAACAGGTCATAAAGAATTATGCAGAAAAGCAGAAAAGCCATCCTTTGTTGGTGACAGCTGAGGAACTGAAAACTGCTTTGGAGGACAAGGAAATGGAGGCACATGTGCACAGCACTGGCACAAACTAGAGCTCCAACTTATTTAACCTTAAGAGACTGACTAGCATCTAATTTCTCCCTATAATATTGCCCTTGAATCAGAAATTAAGGTCTCAACAGTAAGGACAAGAAGCTCTTGATTGTTAAATAAATTCTCCTTGGCAGCCCCTTAAGAAATTTGAGAAGAACATAATGGAGAACAAGCATACTAATGTTAGGATGTACAGGGTTCATAACTGAACTGATTTTGTTTTTGTTTTTATAGGTGGACGCAACAGTTATCCCCTAAGCTATGGTTCCTGTTTCTATTTCTTTATTTTTGTGAAGTTTTGGTGCTATTTGTTTACTTAAGAAAATGGGAATCACACTGGAAGGTATGTGGATCAAGCACAGAGCTCAGATATACTATTCAGATAAATTATACTTCACAATTTTGCCTTTAGAAATTGTGAGCCAGAGGCAAGTGATTTCCAAACTCCCAACATCCTGCATGGGTTATTGCACTAGTAAACTGATGGAAAATGCAGTCTATTGCTTTAATAAAGCTTGTGTTGCTTTGACTACCTCATGACCAAGTCATTTTTCCCTTTAGGTTGTCACTTGGTCAGAAGCATGTGGACCAGCTCTGGTAGGAAGCTTTGCTTAATTCAATAACACCTAACTTAGCCTGAATTATGTTTTAAATTGTTAGGTCTTATTGCATTTGGTACAGATGGTTAGAGCAAATTTAACTATCCCATCAGTGATGGGATTTTTAAACATAAAGGAAAATTCTGTCAAATTCATTGCATTTTTGTCGCTGTCATATTCTTGTATATTTGATTGGGGGTGTAAGTTTATTCTTGGATCATAATTTATCAAAGCAGTTCAAATTCTATTTTCCTTTGTTCTAGATCATTACAATGAATTCAAGAAAAACTAGAACTAAATTAGACAGGCTTGAGAAAATTTTCTCAATCCCCTAAAAAGTGAACCATAGTATACACATTAACCCTGTCATAGCCAGGCATTCAGTTTATAAAACAGAGCCAAATACTAAACAGCGCAATAGTAGTGGCTGAACAAAATTTTAAATGAACCAAACCTCCCTCATTTTCTTCAATCCTTTACCACCATTGGATGGTTTACCATCACACTTCATTTTACTCACTGAATGACTGGAATAGGCTAACCAGAAACCTTGACAGGGTCGTGCAAACTTCCAAAAAAAAAAAAAAAGGTATGTTTAAATGAAAAAAAGATCTTTTTGGTAGATCATGGTTCTGCTGGGTGTTCTCTACATGTACATGGTGTCCACTGACTATTCAAGCTCATCTCAAAGAAGAAAGGCTAAAAGTCTCAATAGGAGGTATGAAAAGAATTTAGTTTTTAAGAATAATTGTAAGTTGTAGAATTTCTCTTATAGGACACTTCTGTGCAAGGGACACAAATGCTGGAGTGGACCTTATTAAAAAAAAGCTCCTGTGACCTTTGAATCTGTTTCCTTCATTAACCACTGAACACTCTAACTCCCCAGATATGATTTATTCATTGTTAATTCTCCCCTCTAGCTGGTACATAATTATTTCCTTATAAATTAGTTTCAAGAACTTGGTGTTAGATCAAGGTAATAACCTCTACCTGATTAGTTTGAGTATTCTCATTACCTGTTTGCAGAATTATGTCTGGATATTATAAGGAGAAGTAACATGTTTAAATCACTTGTGCAGTTAAAAGGGTTAACCCTAAGGGTCTCTCTCCTGGACCTTTGTGGAGAAGCTAAGAACTCCTGTTTTAAACAAAATACAAAACCAAGTTATTGGTAGTTACATGTGTATTTCAATGGTCTTGAAAAGTGCTCAAATGCGTTTAAAGTGTTAGTTTAAAAATTTTATTTTCAAAGAATTAATTATCCTTATGTAATCTAGGAACAATATTTTTTTTGTCAATATTAGCATAGTCAACTAGTGATTTGCGTTATCGGCTGGAGTCCTTGTTTTAATTGCATAAGATTTTGACATTTTTTCTATCCAAGATTCTCACTTGTCCTCACATGAAGATACTAACAGTCATTTGCATATATTTGTTTACGATATTCAAAGTAAAGAAGTCAATCCTTTCATTCTTAGCAATTTGCACTTCCCTACTTCCTCTGTCTTTTTGATGTTTTCTAAAAGTAGTTATTTATATTTAGACGAAGAGCTGCCAGACAGAAGAGAAAGAGCAGCACACAAGAAAATGGAATGGCACATGATAGCATTGTTACAAATGGAATACGACAGAGGAAGTCCACAAACTTGTCACCTGGTATATAGCAGTATACATTATTTTGTGAAATCTTTTTGCTCTGTTCTTATTTTGTGCTCTTCTCAGTTAAAAGTCACACTGTCTCATAAAAAGTTGGGGAAAATGGACAGAATTTGTCAACTTTCTATAACTAAGCTTAATTGCTGATTAAAATGTCTCTCAGCTTGTCAGATTCCTTGTAAAAGTTTCTCCTAGTCAAAATTTATCACAGGAGTTTTAGAACTCTCTTTACCCTGATCACTCAGATTGCTGCTGTATAGTACACATTGCATTTACAGCTTCTTTCATACATTTGGATTGCTACTGGCAAGGGAAAAAGAGCCTGCAAATGGTGACAATTTTTTTTTTTTTAAAACAAGGGGACATGTTACCAGACAGACTAATTTTGAATATTTCATTTGTTCCCAGACTTTAACATCAAGGATAACATAGAAACTGTGGAGAATTCAAATCATTACAATTCAAAAGACAATGACAATGATAAAACAGAAGAAGAACTGAGTGAAAGTGGAGAGACGACCTCGTCAACCACAGAAAGTGATGTGTCTGATGTTGAAATGGACAGTAATAGTGAGGATCCCTTTGCTTGGGATAAACAGGTTCGTAGAAATTTTAGTGATTCAATTTTTGTTGGAATTACTTTATTTTTTCAGCAAGAAAGTTCTTTCTTGCAAGTCCCTTCAGCTTGAGTCTAAAAATGCAAACTGTGTTTCAGAAATACTTGACTTTTATTAAACAAGATATTCCTTCGTTGAAATGTCTAATCAGCTAGATTCAAGGGTTATAGCCCCTTGTAAAAATTTAGTTTAACATAGTGATTAAAGATCTGCGTTCAGTTCATGGACACTGTGGGCCCAGTTCCTAAAATTGGACTATTCTTGCAAAGCTGCAATGTATTTTAACACTCTTCAATAGCTATTCATCAAAGTGGGGATGGTTAGTGGAGGAAATATACCAAGCTGCAAAGCATCAAGGTATTATACACCACTAGCCACCAATACTGAGGTGATTAGTTTTTTTTTAATATGTACTAAAACAGTGAGATAATATAACATGAAAAGATGATCATAACCCATTTATTCCTGCAATGATTACAACAGTGTTGTTGTTGCTTGGAGGTGAATTACAAAGGATACTTGGAGTTTGAGTAGCCAATCAGAGGGCGCCTTTAACACTACCAATGGTTTTAGTATATGCTAATAAATGATATACTAATGTATATTATATACATCAAAGGGTAATGGATCTCCAGGAATGCAAACCAGCCCAACACCCCCACCCACTGCAGAGAAGGGTAAGTACACATACATCTTTTCTTATACTGTAGCCAGTAGAGCAATTTTTTTGAAGGGAAAAGGAATTAAGAGATGAAAGAATCCAACAGAAGTGATAAGAACTCAATGTTAAAATAACCTCACTTCCTGAAAGACAGACATATTGAATATTTGGCATCTTCATCAACCTTTCCTTTCCTGTTACTACAGTGCTGCTCAAAACTAAGTCTTGACAGTCTTGACTTGAAACTCGATCCTCAATACTCAAAACTATGAAGAATCAAGGATAATAATCCATATCACACAGAAATATGCCTACAAAGTCTTTGTAGTCTTGTCCTTGTGACTAATAGTTGCTGTTTTCATGATAACCTCATATTTTGACTACCACATGGCATATCTTTACTGTATGTACATGTACTTGTACATGTGGTAAGCAATTTAATATGTATAGTAACCATTAACACATTAAGAGTGACTATAATCTAATTTCTCCTTACAAAATCACACCTGAATCACATATATTAAGGTCACAAGAATTAAGAACTGATCACCAACTAAAGATGCTCCTGATTGTTAAACAAATTCTCTTTGTCAGCAGCTTAGGAAATGTTCAGAACAGTATGTAGAATGTACATGCTGATGTAAGGGTTTGGAGTGTTAATCTTGTCATTTTTTTGCTAGTTATGGTTTCTATTTGGGAAGGAAATCAATGCAAAAAAGCCCAATTAACACTCATGGAGATTAGTGCTGCCATTGCCAACAAAGTGGTAAGTCACGTTTTTTTCTTTTTTTACATTTTAGTTGTTTCATTTCGTATCATGTGTAGACAGCTGTTATACTTCTTGATTTGCTACGGAATCCTAGCCATTGATTGTCCCTCTTCCCCGTTTATTTAGAACTGATCTGTCGTGATTAACCCTTCAACTCCCAGAAGTGATTAATAAGTAACTTCCCCCTACAATATCCATGAACTATACAGCAAACAGGTAACGAGAATACTCAAATGTATCAGGTGAAAGTTGTTATCTTGATCTAACACCAAATTCTTGTAACTAATTTACAAGGAAATGTATAGCAGCTAGAGAAGAGAATTGAAAATCAGATCCTGGGAGTTAAAGGGTTAAATGAGGAAATATTTGAGTCAATCTCTTCCAAACATCTTTATATATGGCTGGTTATTACAGTGTACGATTTGTATTTTCCAATTACTGTTGGCTGTACATTTATGTTGTTATGGGGAGGTTTGGAGCGTAACGTCTGTATGGTGCTCCAGCATCCTGGTCATTAAAAGATTTTATTGAAAATTTAAATTGTACTTTGATTGTTTTCTCCTTTGTAGGACTCTCATAAAAGCCACACGGGTTATGTGCAGTTTTCTGTTGTTGTCTCTATGACCCTTGCATTTATTCCTCTTCTTTTCCGTCTCTACAACACAACAGTGAGTCTGCTGTCATGAATTATTACAGTACAGTTATAGTTCAGTGTTACTTTGTCCACTTGGTGTACGGTACCTTCACAGACAAGTCACTGGGAATCATTTAGACAGATTAACAGTTGTTCAGTCAATTTGTCAGACACTCAGCTAGTTTGTCCTCAATAGGACAAATTAAATTGACGAGACACGATGACGTATAATGAGTCGCAAATTAGGAAATACGGGTGACCCAAAAAAATAATCAACAGCCAAGAGACAAGAAAAAACTAGTCCAAGAGAAAAAACGCAACGATAGATATTTACACCAATAATGGAGACAAAAAGCAAACGAAAAGATTTTAACTCATGTGCATGCTATAGTCACAAATTCACAGTCCTAATATATTCACGTTTTAAATATGACCCATACAGCCCCATTCCTGTTTTTACTGTAAAACATTCGACAAAGATCCTTGTGCGAGAGTGGTATTAAGCCAAGAGAAGTGAGGAAGAAAAAGGACAGAGCTATGGTCATATGATAACTTGCTGATTACTATGTTAATAAATACTCAATTAGCCAGACAGTCATTTAACTAGATCCCTTTTTAGTGAGACAGACAGTCAACTAGTCAGTCAGTGTCAGTAAGTCTGTCAATCAGTCAGTTAGACAAACAGCCTATCTCAGTCATTCGGGAGGAAAATCAGTCAGTCATATCAGTCACCATATCAGTCAGTGAGCCGGGTTTGTCTAACTATCTTATTTATTTCTCTCTCTCTCTCTATATATATATATATCTTTTAGTCAGACAAACTGTTAAACCACGTTAATTACCAACTAATTCTCTTTTTCCTTGTCTGAAGGGAACTATTGGAGACCTTTTGATTAGCAACAGTGAAGATCTCTTGTGTAAAATGTTTGGATATTCATCATGGTATGTAAAATTCTTTTACGTATTTTCCACTTTTTATGCTACAAAGCTTTGAAATTCTCTCAGAACTAACGTTCCTTAATATTTTTATTCCTTCTGTCTCGAAGGTCACGTGTCATTGTTGTTATTAGCATGCTGGAGAGGTTCTTCTTGAGTTTCTCCTTCTTCTTTCTGCTGTGCGTCGCAGAAAAATCCTACAGAGAGGTGAGCGAAACGAGTGTAGGGTGAAAGATTTCCAACACTTGAAATTGTACTTCATTTCCTTTTTTCCCTTAAAAGTATTACCCCTTGACACCCTGATGTCAATATGCGTATTCTCCATACTGTTCTTAATGCATTTCCTGAGATGCTGACAAGGAGAATTTGTTTTACTGATCAAAAGCTTCTTTTGTTGGTGATCATTTCCTTTATTCTCATGACCTTAATGTGTGATTCAGGGGTGATATTGTAAGGAGAAATTAGATGCTGGTCACTCTTAGGGTTTAAAGGGTTAAGTTGCTCTGTGGAGGCAGAGCAGAAAAGATGCGCGCCAAGTTTAAGATGGGTCTACAAATGGATTAAAAAAATTTTCTGGGTTCGAACGCCAGCCAATTCATTTCATCACAGTGTTTGGATGGTCTATCAGTAGATCTACAGAGAGCCTGTTACGGAGTCTGGGCATATGTTTTATCCTTAGCTTGGGACCAGGCCTTCATTGTTAGCGCTCAAAATTTGGGACAAGTCGGAGAGAGGTTTGCTAAGAGTCTGGAACTAATTATAATCAGTGCTAGACTCGTTCCAAACCTCTCACCGGTTCGCGTTTCTAAAGGCCCCATACTTGCGAAGAAAGACTGGTGCCGAAGAACTAATAATAAGGGCGTGCCCGTCGGCTATTATACTCTCAGATGGCGAACTTGTTGCATGCTTTCAGGATAAGTAATTCGAAAGTGCCTTGTCTGGACATAAATTAGAATGGTAGATTTTTGCTCGGTCCTGAAATAAGTAAATATTTTGTGCATTTTCCCTGTCTATCTCGTTTGGGTTTTATTCTGACAATGCTGTTCCGTATAATGATTCCAGCGATGTCTGTACGCAAAGTTATTTGGATGGCTAACGTCGTCGCGGAAGTCTCGCCGTGCGGGGCTCCCTCACTTTCGTCTCCACAAAGTACGGAACATAAAGACCTGGCTGTCGCTAAGATCCCTGTTAAAGGTTAGCTAACACTCTGTAACGGTTAAGCTGCGTCAATAATCTACATGAAAAAATTACGCGCTTCTGATTGGCTGAAAACGAGTGCATTCTCGTGTAACACGAGTGCAAACTTCAAATGGCGCGCACACGCTTCAAAATTTCATCTGTCTTGACTTTCTGTGATGTTTTTTCATGTCCATTATAAACATGTAATAATTTTCTTTGAATTCAGAGACGAGGTCCTCAGAGATCTGTTGACATGATTGTGTCATCATCCTTTATACTGGGCATGGTTCTAGTAATTCTCATGTGTGTACAGGTGAGTCAGAGCCACGTCCTCCCTGTCTTGAAATATTAAAACTTTAAAGTTAGATACATGTACACCTTGTGTTCATTGGAATTTGTTCCTGTGCCTGCCAAAACGTTATTAAAATTCTTTTCTCTTGGCAGCTTATAAAGGGAAATGAAAAAGAGAGGTTTCTGTCGATATTATTTAACTGGGAGGTGTCAATATGGTAAGTGATCAGAGGTAGTTGTAAATTAATAAATATGTGAATCATTCAGACCAGCAAACAATCAGTCAATCCAGTCGGTGGTTCATGAGAGAGTTGATTAATAAATGTGTTACTGGGTCATCATTCGAGCGATCAGTCTGCCAATTTCTTCTATCGATCGCTGGGTCCATCCCCTCATTCATCTGCCATTTGATGGAAATCCTAGTCAATAAACAGCATGTGTATCATTGGAGCTAATCAAACAATATTTATCGGTTTATACCTTTTTTTGTATCTATTGAATTAATCAACTAGTCAGAAGTTAATCTGCTAAACTTCACAGCTAGTCATCCCATCAATCATTCGTAAATCCTATCAGTTATGTATTTGTTTATCAGTCGATTAGACAGTCATTCCGTCTGTCCGTGTGTCTGTCTGTTAGTCAGTCAAAACAGTCTGTCCTAAAAAGCCACAAATGACCGAGGTATCTGTATAATTATCTTATCACGCGCTTTTGATTGGCTGAAAACGAGTGCATTCTGATGTAACACGAGTGCAAAGTTGTAACACGGGTGCAAATTACAAAAAGCGTACAGGCTTTCAAAATGTTGTCTGTCTTGACTCTCTGTGATGTTTTTCATGTACATTATTAACAAGTAATAACGTGATTTCTCTCGCAATTTGGCGTAATAAGCACATGTAAAATTTTCAACGAATCCAAATTGCACGAGCCTATACGACAAGTGCAATTTGTAGTCTCTTTTGGAAATATTATCCTCAACTTTATCATTTGCTTTTCTAGGAAACTGTAATGACTGTAGTCAATTGGTAACAGGACTTCTTGTCGTCCAGTTCGATAAGAAATCGTTCTCGTGATCACGATCATCGAATCGGGTCCTCGTTTCGCGGGGCCTTTCCTTAGTCGTTTAACAACTTACATTTAATGTGTTTAACCAAGTGAAGACTTCGTTACTTAACCAAATTGCTACTGATCGTACCTGGTTGTTTACTTGTTTTGCTTTAAGGTGCCTTGTTTTATCTGTCTATGTTCTGCGGTTCATGACGTTAGGATCCAAGATCAACAGTAAATTTACGAACACTTCGGGACTACTAACGGAGCAGGTGAGTAAATTATTTAAAAGTGTTCGTATAAAGAATAATAAGGATGGTAAATTTTGAGCTCATTAAGTGATTGGAGACGGCTTTTTTTACGGTGTCGCAGAGACTCTTTATGGTTAGCGAGGCTCTACTTTTTTAACACTTGTCCTGCATACTGCTTGGATTAGAAAAGATAAGAAGTGGTGTAATAAAGTCGAAGGTTTGTTATTCCTGCGGTTTAAGATAAAGGAAGATATTTTACCATAGTATTTCCCAAAGTTGTTCCAACATTTTTGCAGTTTTGTTAGTTTCGTAAATCACTCATTTAATTGAATAGCTAGTGAACATATGTCGGTATATTGTCGGAAATTAAGAAACTCTTTTCACCGCTGGTGAATTTGGCGGATTTTAAACATTACTGGAGTGAGAAATTGTTAGTTACTACTCGTTTTTCCCTTTTTTGTGTGTCTATACTCTTTAGATTAATCTGTACCTTCAAATGGAAAAAGCTCCTCATAAAAAAGACGACCTGACAATAGCTAACCATGTGCTTAAGTTGGCCTCGAAACTACTAAAGGTAATACTGTATTTTGTGTCTATTAGACCGAGAGACAGAAGGAGCTTGTTTGGAAGCTGTTTGTAGCGTAGAACTTAATGAGAAAGAGGCGCGAGTTTTATGAATAAAACACGAAGCGAAGTGAAGCAAAACAAATGCAATCCCAGATTACCATCGACACTCATTTGAAAATTGCTTCATTGCTCGATGCAAGGATCCAACGAGTAGGCGTTTGAGGCAGTTTTTTTGGTGTTAACTTCGATCTTTTAGAGAACTTTTACTGCGAGGTATGTCCAGAAATGTATAAAGTAATGAAAATGGCGAAAATTCGTCAAAATTGTCAAATCCGCCAAGCTGATTTGCTCTGACGAATTTGACTAAAATTTTTCAAAATCGTCAGTTTGCCAAGCTGATTTCGCTTTGACGAATTTAACTGAAATTCGCAAAAATCCTCAAATCCGTTAACATTCACTCGGTGTGACGAAATTTCGTAAAATCTGCCATTTTCGTTACTGTGTGCATTTCTGGACATAAGTGTTTACTGCAGACAACACAAAAAGTTATATTTTAGTTTCAAAGCTTACGTTTCGAGCGTTAGCCCTTTGTCAGAGCGAATGGAGGAATTGTGAGTTGTGTGTGTGTGTTTATATGCAGAAAATGGTGCCACGCTATAGGTGGGAATATGGTGACCAGAAAGCAAGGGTACTAACATACTAGTTGTTTGGCTTGCTTATCAGGAAATTGAGAGCCCATTCAAGATGTCTGGTTTATCCATGAACCCCTTGCTGTATAACATCACCAGGGTAGTTGTGCTGTCTTTGTTTTCTGGAGTCATGTCAGATCTTCTTGGATTCAGACTAAAGGTTCGTTCGTTAGTTTTTATTTAATTTTTTTTTTTTTTCAATTGTCTCAAGTTTTTGCTAGTAAATAGTTTGAACTAAAATCTTTTCGACTTTTCCTATCTCCTTAATATGTTTAGTTTTCAAGGGCATCGTGCTTGATTTAATTAGAGCCTTCAGACAATCGTGATCAGAGAGCCTGTACTTGAACTTGACGGAGATTTCAGTGGTGTCAGTTAGAATTTTTTGTCATCGTGACGGAAGGGACAAAAATAAATTAAAGGATCTCTCTAAGACGCTCTTGTGTAATCTAACACAAAATCAATATCCACCACCTTTCAAAACGCATTTTTTTAAGGAAACAAATGAAAAAAATGGTAGTATGGATTCATCAAGTTATTGATGCATGAGAGTGATAAAACCATTTTGAACGACCATGAAGGGGCTAACTTACGGTTTTTCTTCAAGTTCGTCAATTTGCAATCTTTTCAAACTCCTCCGTCGTAAGCTATTCTTGTTGTTTTGATCTCTTCTTACTCCTTCCTCACTCTACTTCAGTGGACATTTATTCCATGTGTTCTGTTTATGAAATATCAATCCTTTATTGGTCGAACAGTAACTCGAAATATTGTGACGTTTGAAGTTCATGTGATCATATGGTGTCGATACCTTGCTGGACGCCTTGCCATCGCGCGCTAATCCCTCGCGTGTTCTACAAAGAGCGGTTTCTTGTGAAGGACCCGCGTTACCCTGGAGGGAAATCTTCTTCTAATAATTCCACATTTTCACTTTCTTTTCAGGTTTGGAAAATCAAGACGTAGCATCAACTTGATGAGAAAAAAAAGGCAAATTATTTATATTTAACTTAACACACACGTTTTATTTTTCTGTCAAATGAGGTTGTATATATTCTATTAACGCCACGTGAAGTGGTGATCATATATATAAATATATATAAAGGGCTCGTAGGGCCAAATTTCAAAATAAGAATTGCTAAAAGAGGCGGCCAGAGGAACCGTGGGTGACAATAATGAAAGTTTATCGCGAAGCGATTGATTTAATGCGTTTTGATTAGTCATATTTACGAAAAAAGATAGCCCATCTTTGATTTATGGTTTCCATGGGGTGCGGGTTTACATTTATGCACAAAGTTCCTTTGATTTCGCACTAAAATGCTGTAAGCCTTGTTTTAAGCTGGTGTATTAAGTAATTGGAGAGGCAGTGGCCTGCTTCTAGAGGTCTGGATTCGAGCTCTGAACGGCACTTTGGGTGGTGTTTTGTGCAAGACGCTTTTTACTCTTGCAGCGTTTCCCTCCACCCAGGATTACAAATGATTATCAGCGAGATGTTAAGCTATGCGTGATTTGAAATGGACAGCATCCTTTTCAAGGGAAGAAGCGATATTTTAATATGGCCACTGAAATCAGCCTAAGTATTCTAGCGATCGGCTTCTTACTTAAAATCATATTAGCATCTTATAATTCTTCTCGATATTGTCGCCTACTATTTCACGCTTCGTATAGTCATTCTAGCCCGAAACAACTGTATATTACTTCTCACCTTGCTATATAAGTATTGGAATTTACTAATGGTTGGCAAGTACATTTCTTCTCTCAGTTATCCTGTTAATCCAACAACTTAGTAAACTGACGTTAGTTAAACGGTGGTTTGCGTCGGGAAAACAATTTAGATTAATTCTCTACACCCTTTAGTATTCGTGTTTTCCTCACTGTTCTCTTAAATTTCCAATAACACTGACAAGGAGAATTTCTTGTATTGGTGATCATTTTTTTTATTCTCGTGACCTTTATAGTTGATTTAAGGGCGATACTGTTAGGAGAAATCAGAAGTTAGTCACTCTTAGGGGTTAAAGGATAACAAACTATTGAACGAAACTCCAACAATATGAATTAAGGAACGTTTTCATACTTTATTTTTAAGACTTGAACTATTGTGTATATCTGTTATAAAGTTTTTGTCGAATTCTCAGTTGTTCAGTTTGATTAAACACAGGATCAGTTAAATGCTAACCAAGAAGTTAGTTTCCTGTGCTTGAAGAAGTTATAATCAGTAATTGAGTTTGCAAGAGTTTGCAACTTTGCAATTTCGTTCTCGGGTTAAAAGGCTATTCGGACGGAAATTTGTTCCAGGGATAAGCGATTGGAAGTCGGTTAACATTCCACAATTCGTTAGATAAGAAATTGCATGGCTGCCAAAAGGTCTGATGGCTTAAAGAGGGAGATTTTAAATCTCTCTGTGGCTTTGTAACGTCATGTCTTCGAGAAAGTGACGGTAAAATCATCTTAACTCGAACTTTGAAAAGTTTCGGTGTTCAACCGCCATTTTGAAAAAAAGGGTCTTCCAGTGTTTGATGATGGACACGTGGCATTTACTGCTGCTATATAACACTAAGGGCCCATAGAGTTACTGAGTTCAGTCATCAAATAATTGCCTTCTCCTTCGCTTGTTATTTGTCTAATTATAGTACGGTGAATTTGATCACGAGCGGTCCCTCCTTTTCGGCTAAGTCCGTCACGCGAGTCAATAGAAAATCGGCGAAAAAAACAAATTAATGTTTGCGCGTCGCGTAGAACTCCTAGGAGCACGTAACGCTATGCACAGAGTTCCGCGTGGCGCGCTACCATCGATCTTTTTTTCGCTGAATTTTTTGACTCGCTCGACGAACTGCTCCAAAATTGATGGACTGCACGTAGTCTACTTGAAATAATAAATAATAATTTTATTTTATTGAATGATGTTGATATTTTCAATAAAATTATTACAAGACTGATATGGTGTGTGTTCTTTGTTTCATGGGGGGTCTCGTTTCGTGAATATGGAGTAAAAGCAACGACGCCAGCGACGCCGTGGATAACGTTAACGTTGGTTTAAAAAATGAACTTATATTTTACCTATGATTCTTGCGATACTGTAAAGTCATTTAGTTTGTTTCTCATTGTCAAAACTATCTCGAAACTGAATATGGAACACAGCGTTGAATTAGAAATAGGAATTTGAAAAAACTAGCCGTCGTCGTTCACGTTACCCAGACAACGCAAAATTTGGTCACTCCACGTTGTTATTTTGCAAAGGACGCAAATAAATTTACAAGGTATATTAAAGTTCACACGGCAACCAGGTGGACAATCAGACATAGTTTGATGCTACTCTGGTTTGCAGATTTAATGAATGTAACCGAAGAAGTTACAATTCATAGACCCAACGTTTCGACACTCCTGTCTAGTGCCTTCATCAGGGGTGACCTAAACGCTGCAACAAGAGGTCCTTTTATAGGATCACTAATTAGCGGCCTTTTTTCTGACGAGGTGTAAATGGGCGTCAGGAAGCAAGCCGCCATCGTCACGATTTAAAGGAGCGTGGGCGGAGTTAATATGCCAAGCCTCCAAACGAAGGCGCCGGTGGTAACGCCGATTAGTAGTGATAATTTTAGAATTATCCCACCCAATTGTATGGTTAGTTAGGCACGTATGCTCCGATAAAGCTGAATTTTCCTTTTTGCAAAGGAAAACTGCTTTTACCAAACTGACGTTTGGTCTGTCCAAAAAAACATTTAAAACGGCCTTCCCTGAAGTGCTTTCAGATTTTGCTCCTTCAAATTGCGTTCAAGACACTGTTTTATCTTAAAAAATCTCGAGCTACTTATTTTATTGCATGAAGGCTGCTAGTACAGACCCGAGAATGTGTGCAACCCTGTAACTCCCAAGATCTCATTTAGTGATTCTACTTACTCTCTGACATAAAATTCTTATGATAATTCTCCAATTTATACTTTTCTTTATTCTTATCTCTTATCTGCTTGATATTGTATTGATATTGTAAAGAGAAATTCTGTCTTAGTCACTCAATAAGAGTAGCGTCTCTTAAATGCGCTGAAAATTTAACAAATTTACGGTGATTTAGGGTGGTCTCTAATCTCTTACCGACGACGATCTTCGTCGTCCGTAATGGTCAAAATGTCTACTCCTTGTGAGTTCGTAACAACAAGCTTGATTTCTGTGATAAAAATTATTTTAAAAAATAGAAAAAAAACAAGTTTTCTCCAATATGCTTGTTTTGAAGTTGAAGTAAACAAACGTCAGTACAAAGTAGGTAATTTTCTTTTTAATTTTTCGAAGGTAGTATTATTAATTAAGCTTCTTCTGAAAATGACTTTACCATGTAAAATCTGATATGGGAGGTTTAGTAATACATGTTTGCATTCACCGTTTGTTGAAGAACTTTATTTACAAAGAGATGAGATGAATATTTCTCTATAGGTTAAATAACCTCTATATGAGCAAAACACTTTGGAATTCTTCTGTTCACAATGATTTAAATCCTCAAAAAGTGATTGAAATTAATTCCAGTTCTTGGAAATGTTTACCAATTAATTCATGGGATTAAACGCCAAGAAAAAACTGGAAATCCCACAGACAAGTTAATGATAAAACCAAATTTAATTTCGCATAATAATCAGAATAAGAATATTAAATGTCGGATGTACGTGAGGTCATCAGAGAAGTGATTGTTCACACTGACTGCTTTGACTTGCCCTTCATAAGCTTCTCCTGAGGAAGTATTTACACAATGCTATGTGAAAACACTGTATTTGACGATGTTAAAATTGAAATCCACGACAAATAAAACACTGAGAAACAAACGTTTCTTGCGCTTTATCTGTCAGATAAAATTAATGTCTGTCCCACAAACCTAACTTTTCCCATCTATCAAAGAGAATCACAAAAAACTTGTAGCGATGTTTTTGCTTACGAACGTAATTAAAACAAGAACTGCGGTTTAAATTAGTGTTGCGTTATTTGTATCAGAAATGTCAACAACTTAGTGAAAAGTAAAAATTTTCATCAATGCTGTTATTGGTTCATCACAGGCAGCTGCTAAATTTGTAAACCAATAATCAGAACACCTTTGTTTCATGATAAAAGTAGCAGGAGCCTCGCTCCTAATTTTGGCACTTCTGAGCGATAACTGTCTTAAAACTTAAACAATATTCGATGTATGTCTGAGATATCAATATAGAACCTCCGTTGTCTTTCGGTCAACCATGGAGTTTAGCTTGCTATTTATGTTTTTAACTTGGACTGCAGTGATGACTTATTTAACGTTTGGTATCGGTGAGTTGCAAACTGCGAAACATTTTTAATTTTCAAAGTCATCCTCCATGCGTGCAATTTCGAACGTATGTTTAGTTTTCTCGTTTCCCTGTTCCAGTCATAACTGTTCATAACTGTCTGTCCAGAAGCCCTTGGCTTAACACTTACCTGTGGGAACCAATTTATGTAACGATTCATATTTTCCGGCGTCCAACCATAACGAAAAACCTGAATTCAACATCAACGACTGGAGAATGATGACAACATTTCTTGGGTAGAAATTAAAGGGAAAATGAACGAAAGGGTATTTTTATCGAATGCCATTTAGAAAATCAATAAATTAGTCATGAAAGAAAGTAATAATTTCGGATGCAAAGGAGAACTTCTAATTCTCTCCAAGCTTATTCAGGAAAAGTATTTTCTAATTGCGAAAGCACTGGGTGGGGCATGGATTCCAAAGGTCTGAGGTTCAGTTCCACAAGGGAACTCAGAAGTCTTTCTTTGTCCTACGTTCGTGACAAGGTAAAAAGATATCTTTAGTATATATTTTAACAGTGGACAGTGTTGAAAGCGTGATCTAATATTCACCTCCAAGCAACTTGCGCTGAATTTGCGCCCGAAAAAAGTTGTAATCGTTGCAGGAATAAATGAGTTCATGTGAGTTTAAATCATCTTTGCGATGCACTTTATCATCTGGCTTCGAGGCTCGGTACATTTCTACCACTAGCCACCTCCGTTTCGGTGAAAAGTTTTTAATTATTATTGAATTGTTTTATTTTAGAGAGAGATCGCAAGATGTTTTTTCCTGATTACTACTTCTTTGCTGAAAGACGTTTGGTAAAACATACGATTGCAACAAAATACGTCAAGAACTTTGATGACTGCGAGCTTTTGTGCTACTTGAACGACAGCTGTGTCAGTGCTAACTTCAAAAAGGATCCAGAGAATGGTGGAATAGCTTATGCCTGTGAACTGAATAACGCCACTCATCTGGAGCACGAGGTGGACCTGATAACTGACATCGTTTTCTATTACCGTGGGTCTGAGGTGGGTTACAACTTAAAATTAGTGCAATAGTCGTCTCGGAATGAATATTAGGGACCTTAAGCAGTCAGGACGGCAACGCCAAGGAAGACGCAGTTTCGGTTCGCAGACAATGCAAATTGTGGTGATTTCACGTCGTTGTTTTGCATAGGACGGCTAAGAAATGTACAAAATTTTAAAACGCTCGTGCTGAGCTATTGTTCTGCCAACTAAATATTTTTTTTTCCATGTCCTCGTTGCCGTCGCCGTTGTGGTTTGCTTAAGGTCCCTAATAGGGAGTGTAAGGAACCCCGGAGACAAAAGCAACAGGAACATCTCTACACAAAAAGGTTTTAATGATTTGAACAACGGCTGCGCACACGCGTTCAAAATCTTTGTAAATTTCTTTGTTTACTCTGCAAAACAACCACCTGAAATGACCAAACTTTGTGTTGAGCGGCGACGGGTAATTTTTTAAATTTCTATTTATAATTTAACGCTGTGGACTATATTCAGTTTCGAGATAATTTTGAAAGTGAGAAACCAACTGAATGGCTTTAGAGCATCGCGAGATTCGTAGGTGAAATATAAGATCATTTTTTAACCGAAGTTGTCCACGGCGTCGCCTTTAACTCCTTAATTAGGAACCTTTAGCAACGCAGAGGATGACGTCAATGAAAAAATGAATTTACATTTTCCGTCAGAATTACGCGAATGGCTGAATGTGTTTGTCATCTTTTACGGCGCCACACCTCAACTTTAGCATCACGATGTAAACAACTATGAGTTCCAAATGGAAACTTGAATAATTTGCCGTCGGGTTTACGTTCTCAGAGCGGGCAAATTTTGGTGAGTTAACGTCGTTGTTTTGCAGAGGACGGCCCAGAAATGTACCAAGTTTTAAAACGCTCGTGCTGAGCTATTATTCTACTCATAAGATCTTTTGTTTTGCCACGTCCTCGTTAACGGGGTTTGCTGAAGGTTCCTTTACAAACAAACTCTTGTTTTTCTTTGTTCCGTTCTTTCCCTTTCTCTCTCTAGTTAATTTTTGTTTACTTTTAAAAATCTTTCATTTCTGATTCAGAACGCCTGCAGCAAAAATCAACTCTGCCAAAATAACGCAGCTTGTCAGTCTGGTTTCACAATCAAAGGATATCGATGCTTGTGCCCTTCTGGATTCGAGGGAGAATATTGCGAAAAAGGTAAGTTTTAGATTTCCGCACAAATGTCGCTCTGATATTCATGCTAGCACAACGCTACTACCCGTGGGTAGTTAACGTGTGTCTCGTTTAGTTTGACGTTTATACTGTACTCCTTCGAGTTTTTGCAAGGGGGGAGGGGAGAGAGGGGGTCAGGTCAGTTATATTTCATTCCATACGTTTTATCTCAACGTCTCTTTAAGGAGAAAAACGAAGTGTCTCATCATACGCAGAGGATGCAAAAGTACCCTTGAACTTGCATCTAATTCATCTGCAAGGTCTAAACGAAGAAACACAGGAAAATATTAACGTTACAAATGCGAGGATCGAGAAAAGTGTATGGTATTTGCTGAAGCAGTATGCATTGTTGATGGAAATCGTGAAACTGAAAAAAGGTTCCTCTCCGCATTCCCTCTGTTTTCTTTCTCACTATTTGTCTAATTTTATGTTTCTTTCGATCACCTTTTTAGATATCGACGAATGCAAAACAAATTCGCACGATTGCAACACAAATGCCTACTGCTATAACACAGAGGGATTGTATCACTGCTTCTGCAAACCTGGATATATCGGAAATGGACGGAGTTGTACAGGTAAAGTCGAGACCTTCTGAGACCTCTGGGTTCTCATATGCAAGGCCTAGATACAGAAATCCTAAAAAAAATGGCCCAAAAAAACTGTTCGGAAATCGTTTATGTTCTAAAAACCTCGTTTGACCCTGAAAACCTAACAAAATCCGGATTTTTGTATCAAGCCCTATCATAGGCAGCAACTGAAAGGATATTTATCTTTTTATTTATCTACCTTTTCATTTATTTGTCTACTTCATCATTGGTTATTTGGTTTTTTTTTCTGATTGCTTCTTTTGATATCGAGCCAGCTGCAACGCTGAAAGTCGTTTTCTTCTTTTAGATCAGAGTGTTTGTTTCTATTCAGTGTCGTAAAATCAAAACCAAAGCAATGACAACAGCCAATCAGAGCAAGGGAAGTATCATAAGGAACCGACGAGGACTCGAAGCGCGGAATCCGCCTGAAGCGCGGGAAACGCGAGTGACCAAGTTGTGTTTGGTTTTAGTGTGGAATCTGATTGGTCAAGAAAGTGGCGCGAACTTTCAGGACCAATCAAAGAGCGAAGTAAAGCAAGAACGAACTATTTATAGAGAGAGCTATACTTTTAAGACTATGTGTTCATGATGATGGTCCACCACTTCATAAAATTCTACAACGATTTCCCCTTTTTTTTTTTTTTTTTTTTTTTACAACGGTTTCCTTTTATTTTTCCTGTTCAGTTGATCCTTGTCAACTCCACACAGTTTTACATGATGAAGATCGAGACATAGAGGACGTTGGAGGTAGTGAATGTGACAGACAACTAAACGCTGGCTGGTATCGTTTCCTAAACAAGACAGGAATACGAATGCCGACTACGTGTCCACCGACTGATACAAGGTGTGGTACATCATGGCCAGGTTGGTTAGAAGGAGTTCATCCGACGGTGGAAGACGGAATAGTTGCAAGAACTGTCTACTTTCGAAGGCGTCAAAACTGTAAAGAACTAGCTGTACACAACATTGAAGTGAAGAACTGTTCTTCCTTCTTTGTTTACCATTTAAGACCAACCAGTGGATGTAACTATCGTTACTGTTACTCCTCTAAGTAACCATTTCACCCCATAAGAGTGACTAGCGTGTAATTTCTCCTTACCATATCGCCCCTGAGTCGAGCATTAGGGTCAGGAGAATGAAGCAAATGATCAACAACCAAAGAAGCTTTAATTTAGATGGCAAAATCTACTTGTAAATACCAACCGTAACTAGTTGTTTACTGTTCTCTGTACATTTTTCCGAAGGCATTAAACACTGGGGGTCTTAGTTCGAGCTGCACACCCACCCTCGTGTGTAAGTCGTTATTTAAGATAGGAACGCCAGCTTCCTTGCGGATTTGTTGTGTAATGAATAGGAGATTACAATTTCGAGGTTGTAAAAACCATATTTCTGGGAGCGACATCGATCAGCTTTCTTCGATGTGAGGGTCTGTCACCCTAATGCTGTATCGTATAGGGACCTAGAGCCACAACAAATTTATCGTCTCCATGAGAACGAGAAAAAGCGTCTCTACTCAGAGAGTCCTGGACATTGAGCATGGAACATTTACACCTTTTGTCTTCACCACGACTGGCGGAATGGGAAAGGAGTGCTTGAAGTATCATAGCCGTTTAGCACAGCTGATTGCCATCAAAAAAGGGGAGCAGTATGCCAAAACCATCTCATGGATCAGAACCAGAACCTCATTCGCACTCTTGAGATCTGCGTTGGTTTGTCTTCGAGGCTCCAGGACAAGAAGAGTGCCATGTGACATTAAGAATGTTGATATCGACGTCGAAGTTGTTGAAGGAGCCATTAAATCGGACTATTGATGTGTTTCCTTACTTCATATATATCTTTTTATTGCATTATTATTATTATTATTATTATTATTATTACTATTATTTTTAGCAGGACTTTTAGGACGCTAGATTTTTATTTAGAGAAAAGATATTGAATATTGCATTTTATTTATTACTACTATTTAATGTTTTTATCGTTGTTGGTTCATGTTGAAACCGAGGCAGATTTTAAAGAGGAATTAGTGAAAAGATGTTAAATATTGGTAGTGATTGCTAATAGTAATAGTAATAATAATTAGTAGAGAAACATTTTCGTGGATTATAGTTCAAGAGATATTGAGACATTATGATTTTTTCTTTTCTTTCTAACAGATCTTAAGGTACAAATTTAATTCTTTTTAAGTGAAGCACTGTACATAGGTCTTTTTTATGAGTATTGGATAAAGATTTTTCTTGTTATAACCAGAGTGCGTAGCCGGCAGTTTTATTTGGGAGTACTTGAGCAAGTTGCTGGGCCGCGAAGGGAACGGAAAACAAAGATTCACGCTTTAGGAGCGAAATGGCTCACAAGTTGATTGCGTGACAAGAATTAACTGCCAAATATGTGTAAAATATAGCCAAAAAAGATGCGCAATATCAACTTGAAGAAAGAATGAGAACGCTGGAAAAGGCCAAATCAAAATAAATTTTTAAAACCTCAATAACCTGGTAAACTAGTAGCCAAATATATGTAGCATATGGCTTCATTGCAGCCAAATCAACTTAAAGGCAAGAATTAAAATCGCTCAAGCGGAACGAAAAATATTTCCATATCTATGTTGAGAGCTCTGTGTACCAGACTAAAATTTTCGCCTTTGTATCACCCTCAAGTAATTTGAGCAGAAGAAAGTACATGTAGCATGATATTGGGGACAGAGGCAAACCTCATAGGGGAGGCTCGCAACTTTCATCCCAAATTTGGATGAATGGATCGCCTGGGAAGACAACGAGTACAAAAGATTTAAAAAAAAGGGAAACAAAGAGAAAAAAGGAACGTCCCAGAGTTCGTGATTTTCGATCATGTTTCATAACTTCAAATTTTGCAAATACTAAAAAGAAGCAAACATTCCCTGTTTGTCTTATTATTACTTTATCTTTTTTCAACTGTGATTATCATAATTTTATTTTTTTAAAGAAATTATTTTTTTAATCCACTTTCTGCCTTAGTGTCACTTTATAACATAACACTAGTGTATGGTGTGATACGATTGTTCTTGTTATTTAGAGTTCCGGTTTGGACCCATTGCGCATGGCCGGATAAATTTCAAGATGCGGCAAGGCACTATGTGCATAGTTAAATCGGACCACTAGGCTTTTTGCACCCAAAATAACAGACACCTTGCGCTCTTATCCAATCTTAAAATTGCTCCTGAACTTATTTTTTATTCAGTCCTACACTGTACTTCAGATCCTTTATTTCGGCTATGATTTTGTTATTTTATAGATTTATAGATTTATTTTGTCTATTTATTTGCTACAAAACCTTACGAGTAAAGAATTAGAAAAGAATAACTGGAATAAGAATCAAGTAATTTTACGAAGAACCCCAATAGAAGCTAAAGGCTTTTAATATTTTGATTCCTTGGTTCTTTATGTTTTGCTGACTGACGGTTACATTTACTTTGGCGTTCAGTCATTTCACGACAATCATTTTAAAGAGGTTCGTGTGAAATAAATGCATAGTGTTATGTAGAAGCTGTTCAATTTTTGTTAAAATGATCGCTTAAAAGTCGCCATGCCCTATTAATTACACGAGTCGAAAAGCTAAGCTAAATAACTCACGTCCTGTAAAATGTCACTGTTAGTCTACAATTTCATTAACACAGATTTGTCCTCTTGTTTTTTTTTGTTTGTTTTAAATTTTTACTTTTAATTTAATTGTTTTTTTGTTTGTTTGTCTGTTTGTTTTTCTGTTTTTGACTAATATTTGTTATTTCGTTTTTGTTTCGTTTTGTTTTAACCTCTGTTATCAACCATGTTCTTGCATGCGATTATTACGAAGGCGATTATTTTTAGATGAAATGTAAAGCACTTTTGATTAATGATTTTGATAAAAAAGAGGACTATGCAAAATTCCTAGTGTACATGAAACTTCGCACTCAATCTGAACCACAATAACGCCTTGGACAGTTTGTCGGATAAAGTTTGTAAATATAGTAGGATCCACATTCTTTCTCAGAGATACTTACAGTATTTTTGCATCCAGTGTTTTTATCACTGAAGCAGACCTTCCTGGACGGAGGAGCATCTTCTCTCATTAACCAGCCAGAGAAGACTGTACCACAACTGAATGCTGGCACACGCGTTGTTGGCATTTTTGTTCCTGCAGCTCCGACAAAACGATACCATCCCTCTTGGAGTTTGTCATCACATTGGTTCTCGCGTATTTTGTAACTACTATTTCTAGAGGCATCACTGAGGTTTTTGTAATTATAGCAAGGATCGGCTACAAAGTTAAATGATAATTGTAAGAGGATTCTTGTCGATCTAACAAAAGGCTAAATAATTTTTAACGTCTTAAAATCCTAACAGTTTAGCGACCGATCTTAATTATACAATAACAATAACTATTATGCAGCAAGTAAGAGTTTAAGTAGTACTTGTGTGGGAATGTTTCCATCGACGAAGATAAGAAGTCAATGTAGGAAATAAAATTTTGTTAACTACGGCTATCATTATCTGAATTCATGTTTCTTCTTTCTTCAATAACGCATCAAACGAGTTGCAGCTTTAGGCAAGCCAGAGGTGCAGCAATATGGTCGCTAATGGCTAACTGAGCAGTAATGACTTAGACCGAATCTAATCTATAGCGGTAGATACCAAACGCACCTTCACAGTTAAAACCATCCCCAATGTATTTAGGATTACAAGAACAGTTGTATGAACCATTAGTATTAATGCAAGAGGCATTTGCATGACATTTGTTCAATTGATCAGCTCGAGCATTACTGCATTCGTCAATGTCTGAAAGGGATCATGCATAATCCGTAAAGATCAAATTACAGCGGATGTCACAAGATGATAGAGTTATCTAAAATTTGATACTCGTAATCTTTAACACCAATGTATATCAAAAGAGCAGAATTTTCCCTTAGAAAATTGGACGTTAACGACAACGTAAAGTAGCTTAAATCAGCCATTTATTCATCTGAGAAGTAACACGATGAAAATAATCCCCGGATTTCATTATGAAGCCAAGTTTCATCTGCAGGTGAAATAATTGCATTTTGATACTGATTGTAGAGATTCATTTTAAACTTCCCGATGTGCAGAAAAACATACTAAGTCACAGAGCAAAGTAGGATTTTTGATGCAAAATGCGTTGTTATACAGCTATAAATTTTTTTTCAACAGCGGCCCTATCATTAGTTTCTTTTGTTTCGCATAAAATCTAACGATTACATTTTTTGGGGCCAAAAGTTTCTCAACGGGCAACATTACAAAATTCTACGGCGCTAGAGAGTACAATGTCACGAAATTTTAACTATCGATCGCCGACTGGTGTAAAGGGGCTATATTCTCTCGCGCAAGTGCAGTTAGAATTTCAAATAAACTAAGGATATGGCGAATGGCAATATAAGATTGAGAAAAAAAACCTCGATGTTATAAAATGTAATACTCCAAATGTAAATTTTACTCCGGTGTCCTAGCGGATTTGGACCCCCCCCTAGATTTGGACCCCCCGGTCCAAATCCGCTAGCGGATATGAGCCCCTCGGTCCAAATCAGCTAGCGGATATGGACCCCCCCTCCGCGGATTTGGACCTCCCAACAGAACTGAGTGCAAACATCATTCTTAACATTCTCGCAAAAATAGATAATACTTTACGTTTCAGTGCATACTAAAATATCCTTTTTGAAGTTAAGACTGACACAGCTGTCGCTCAGGTAGCACAAAAGCTCACAGTCATCCAAGTTCTTGACGCGTTTCTCTTCGATAGCATGGTTTACCAAACGTCTTTCAGCAAGGAAGTAGTAGTCTGGAAACAACATTGCGCGCTCTCGCTCTGCAGTAATCAAATTAAAATATTATTACAAGACATAATTTTCCGTCGCGAAAAAAAAAATTTCGAGCACAAAGATCTGAGAACTGATCTCTTAGCAAAAGTTCTCGGATCTCAGCAAACTAAGGTGGCAAATACGTCAAGAACGTAAGTCAAACAAAACATTTGACGAAAAGGAACGATAATTCGTAAACTTGTCTGAAAACTTTTAAATTGCTTGGCCGTTTTCTACAATTAAACAATAACATAAAACTACCTTAATTTGAGAGTTTGAGTGCTTCTGAGGAACGGAACCTTGACGGCAAATTTTTCGTGTTTCACATGAATTTGGCAATTCAAGAAGCTCTTAGATTTTAGCTGAGTGTATCATATCGATAGAAAAGTCGAGCCTAATGAATAATTCTGTGAAATTCTTCCCACAAAGAGAGTTAATCGGTGTTAGCAATTTTTGATGTCGTTGTCATCAGTGCAATGAACTTAATTTGAATTCTCTCATAGAGAGCCTTTAATATCTCCAAAACTTTGACCAGGGATAGTTTTCAAGGGCTTTCCTTTTTCTTTTTCTTTTTTCTTCTCTTAAACAAACAGGTGCTTGACTATTGAGTGTTTATTTAAAGAATGTATAACTGAAGAGGTCCCTTGTGGCTCCTTGCTTCAAGCGGTTATCGTGAACAGAGGAAATTCATGCAGATTGAAGCCGAAAAAATGAACTGATTTATATCAGTTTTTGAAAGTTTTCTAAACACAAAAATCTAAGAAAGAAATTTTTAAATTAGCACTTTTGCTAGCCAACGTAGGTTGTTGGAATTGCTTAGCTTTGGTAAATATAATCATCTCTTTATTTCCGTCATTTGTTTCTTAAAACACAACTCATTTATCTGTTTATCGTTTTCATTCATTAATTTGCTTTCCTCATCTCGAGTAAAGTCCACCCAAATCATTTTTCCGTTGTTAAAAAATATTGATCACAGTGACAGAGTTTTAAAAACGCTGAATATTGTATATTTGAATAAATTTCAGTCTAGTGTATCCTTGCAGCGAGATTAATTTTTAAAGAACAAAAAATTTGAAAATTGCACGAATCTTCTTTGCAAAGGTTTTGTCAAGGATCTTCTCAATCAAGCTATTTGTTCTTTGGCAAGTTTTAAAACCTCAACTTAAAAAAGTAATACTTAAAAGTATTTTGGGTCAAAGGTTCCTTCTTAATTCCACAAAATGGTTCAAAACTTATGAGACTGGCTACCCTATTTTCATAAACAAATTTTTAAAACCAGAAAACGTCGTCTATTTCAAATGCCAGCATTATTTTTCTGTAAAAATAACTAAGCTTAAGTTGGCTATGAGTGGCCAATTTTTCTTCCATGCAAATCATTGAATTCCCGTCTGCTAAACAACAACAAAATGTTAGTGATATAATTAATTACCCTTCCATGTAAATATGAGCTGAGCGTTAGGATTGAAATGGTTTTATGGCCCATCATAATAACACCCCTTTTTAAAATACCACTCAATGTTTACAAAACAAGTTTACAAGACTGAGGTTCCTTCCTTTCGAGGTCATGGTCGTTGAGTTCATGCAGGTTTTTAGCCTTGTCATAACGACACGTTATAAGCTCAGTGCATCAACTGTTGTGAATCAGCGAAATAGAAATAAAGAGTGATGGGAAATAAGATAACACGGGCTGAAGTATGAATATAGGGATAGAAAATGATTCGCATTTTGCAACTCACCTTTACCAAACGTCAAGTAAGTCATCGATGCAGTCCAGACTGCGAATACAAGAAACGTTGAAAATTCCATGCTTCCTCAAGACAACGGAGCTCAATATTGTTGCTTTCAGCATGCCACAAAATTCGAGTCGAGCACCTGCATCAGTTCAATAATGGATTAAGTAATAGAAAGCGTCCTTTTTGTATTGAAAATGGAATATTAACAAGATTAACAGCTGTCAGTCCAGACCCATTGAAGTTATTGAAGCAAATGAAAATACGTGGGCCTGCAAGTAAACACGTTTTCGATGTCTTCCGTTGTGTCAGTTAGAAAGACTTTTCTGAAACATTTACTTCGATTGCTTCATAATTACAGTCAAGGGAGTGCGTTTTAAGACAATAACATATTATTAACATATTCTTAAGAACGTTAGGTGAAGATACTCCGATAACTCAGTCATAAAAAGCCAAGTTCTCCCGTTGTTCAAGAAGAAAGACAAATAGATGCCAGAAGCTATTCATGTCTTTCTATGAGACACAAAATACTTCATTAATAATTTATCTCTTATATTTTCCAGCTTGCTTAATTTTTTGGCGAAAGTTGCTCGAATTTTCAAATTACACTTAAAAATGTCTAAGTTCTCATTAAGTGTGATGTGCCACTAAAAAATAGCACAGAAATTTCGAACTTCAATTTAATTAAAGAAAAATTGTGTGATCCACACTTCTAGTCTGCAAGTCTCTATTGTTTAAATTGCAATAGTGTTCATCTAGATGCACAGATGATTAAATTTCTGAAATTGAATACTCTCTGACAATCTTAAGATCTTAAGCACAGACGAAATTTTTTCAAAGTCGTTACATTTTTGTTTTGCATTTGAGGAGAAGAACTGTATATAAATTCAAGAAAATGTTCCAGAAAAGAATTGTGAAATTGTTTCGAAGACAGCTTTCGGGACATGGGGTTTTTTCCCAGCTAAGAGGCTCGCCTTTCTCAGGTAACTCATTTAGCGTCGCTCTTAAGGCCATGTTTACTATTCGTGTGTTCGTCAGATGGTTGTCTTTAAACTGTCGACCGGTCTCATCAATGGCGACGTGAAACGAAGTAAGCACATGCATAGGAAATATATGGAATTAACAATCAAGGAAATGCTGAGTATTGTGGTGAAGCTTGCAAGATGTACCTTGCGAAGCATTTTGTATGCTATTGTCTTCATCCTAAATCTTGCATCTTATACTTAACAAAGGGTAAATTATGATTTGCCTGGTTTTTACTCAAGAATTCATGAAATAATCGGTTCGGGAAGTCAAACGCTGCTTGCCATAGCAATGCTACTAACGCTGAAGGAAAACGACTTACTGATAACTCCTCAAGGCCACTCGAAAAATGGCATTACCTTTTAGTCATCACGGAAACATTACAGTGTTGAGGGTCTTAAAATCATTTAGGAACACTAAGCAGCAGGCTTGTAGAACATCGAGGCGGCAATCATGTATTGTCTCTATTTCATTTTCTACGGTCTTCTTTAGCAGAGGAGTTTATGAAGAAACGGTTGCTAGATTTTTTTCTTGAACCTTTACTTTTAAAGTGCTGTCTTGAAAACAAATAATAAAAAAGAAAAATAAAAGAAAAATTATAGGTCCTGCGTAACTTTTACCAGCCCACCGAAGGGTTGGTAGAGCAAATGAACAAGGTTACGTACATGTTTAATCACAACCTGCTATCCCCTTTTTCATCTTTAAGTACTGAAGATGTGATTTGTCTGCAAAAATTATTAACAGTATGCGTTTGGCTTTACTTTTGTTTGCATGTAACTAAAGGACGTGGAGTGGTCAGACAAACATTATGTGGTGCTCTACAGAGAAGTGTCGATTATGAAGCCCTACTACATCCGTATAGAAGCAAGGAAAGAGGGGATGTATGGAACCATATAGCTATAAACCTGAATGGCTTTGATCATCCGAAATTCCAAGTCAAGAAAAGATCCATAAGAGACAGACTGACCTTGTTAATAACCAAGAATAAAACGGATATGCGCCAAGAGGAAAATGCCTCTGGAATCGCTTGCGAAGAGACTGAACTAGACCAAGCTCTCAAAGAGATGATAATTGATAAGGAGAAGTTAGCCAGCGAAAAAGGCTCCGAAGCAAAGAAAAAAGAAAAGGAAAAAAAAGCAGCTGCAGAGGAACTCAGAACCAAATAGGTTCGAAAGCCAAATGATATCAAATGACCGTGACTCTTTTGCATGGATAAAAAACTTCCTTGGCAGAAACGCCGTGTCGAATAATAAGCTTTCGGTTAATATTTTGAAGCGAATGAAATAGCTCTTACCAACCGAGTTGGAGGTCCGTACTTATATATAAGCTATGGACCAATTTTTTTCCGCTCCGATTTATAGATCAAGCTTGAGGCTTAAGTAAAAGAACTGAATGCTTGTAAATTAATCGCATGGAACTGTTTAATTGCCGTGGAAGATTAGAAAAGTATGAGCAAACGCAGACATTATTTATTGAGGATGCGAGGTCCTGTCATTCCTGTATCCTGAAAGGATACTTTGACATATCAAGTGGTTACTTTTTGAACAAAATTGAAAGAATTGTGATTGGGGGAGGGAGGCTTAATGGGCTCTATGCATTGTAAAATGTTCGATACACTCGCTCAATCAGTACTGGATATCGATTCACGATGCACCTGAAATTAGGAAGAATAAAATAATTTATTCGACACATTACGAAAGGTAACGATGATCATTGGAAAAAACTTAAGGCAGCTTATTTAGAAATAATAAATGGACACTGGAAAGCGACAGTTAGGTTGGCCGATCTTTGTTATTTTGACTTACTCCGTAAAAAGTTGACCGAACATCATTGAAGCAGTGAAATCTAGGAACTCCAGAATTTCTTACCCTGATATGCGATGGAAACTTTTTCACTCCGCCCCCAAGATTCCAGCAACAATTTTCCTAACTGTCTGCTATTTACTTCAATTAACCTTTCAGCTCTGACAATTTTTTGTCGAATCAAACAATTTCCTTCATTATAATGCTTTAAATTATTGACTGAAATTATATGTCAACCAGCTGAAGTATTCATTCGACCACTATCGTACGCGGACAATGAATAATAGTTTGCTGATTGAAGTTTTTGCCCGTGTTTCATTCAGCTTCACACAAGGCGTGACAGAGCATTACGACCCTGATGAGCCTGAAGTGGAGATCTTTGGATATAACGATAGCTTAAGCAGTGAGGGTCGAGAGTGGAATTGTCAGCCTGTTGATAAACCTATTTATCAGGAATAGTCACCGCCATCGGACGACAATTATGATCTCTTGTCAGTCGGTAATTCTCGAGTTAGATTTTGGGTCATTAACGCAAGCTCACCGGACGAAGATGAAGACGAACAGCAAAATGAAGATGTCCAAATGGCTTGGAAACGATTCAGACCGTCCGTTCTTCGCACAGTTTGTCAATCAATGTACATCGGCGCATTAATTTCACTTTTAACTCCAGCCTTCATTGGCCTTTTATACGTCATAATCTCGTACGTCCCTTACGATACATGTGGTTTTTTTGTAGGAATGCTTTTTCTTTTTCGACCGTATCAGTTAAAGGGCGTGAAAAGAAAACTCATTCTTGTTGCTTTTGTCCTTTCCTGCGTGGATACAGTGTATCGTGTTGTCCTTCAAGTCTTTGGAATATCTAATTCCCAACTTTCTGTTTTTCAGAAGATTCCTCTCAACATTATATCTCTAAGTAGCATATGTTGGCAAGTTTATCTTCTAACAAATCACTTCTGGAAACTGTCGAGTAGAGCGACTTTATTCATAAAATTGACGACACCCTATTGCTTCACTTTCTCATGAGATTCTTAAAAGTAGTCTACTGAACTTCACACCTGAATATAATTTCTGATGCACTCATGCAAGAATTCCACGCAGTGAACCAAACCCCTGCTTTAGAGTTTTAGGCTCGAAAAGAATTTTTAATAGCGACCTTCAATATTCCGGCAAAAATAGACTTAAACCAATCTATTCTAAAGTTTTAAAAATATTCGCTAGACAATGTTAGATGCAGTGTTAGTAAACTTTTGCCCTTTAAGTACAACTGCTGGTGCGCAACTGAAAAGTCCCCTACTTCATCCTGAGGGGTGGGGTGAAGATTGAGAAAAGGGGACGCACAATTGGCTATAATGTCTCATCTTCCACTTTTATTTACTTAATGACTGAATGGAGGAACCAGAAAGGAGAATATTTGACTCGAGATCCTGACCGAGAGCCAAACATTCTCCCGTCCTTAATATTATGCGAAATTATGTGGTGCTTTGCAGAGAAGTGTTGATTATGAAGCCCTACTACATCCGTATAGAAGCAAGGAAAGAGGGGATGTATGGAACCATATAGCTATAAACCTGAATGGCTTTGATCATCCGAAATTCCAAGTCAATAAAAGATCCACAAGAGACAGACTGACCTTGTTAATTACCAAGAATAAAACGGATATGCGCCAAGAGGAAAATGCCTCTGGAATCGCTTGCGAAGAGACTGAACTAGACCAAGCTCTCAAAGAGATAATTGATAAGGAGAAGTTAGCCAACGAAAAAGGCTCCGAAGCAAAGAAAAAAGAAAAGGAAGAAAAAGCAGCTGCAGAGGAACTCAGAAAAACAGCTATGGAACGTTTAGGGCACACTCAAAAAAGGAATTCAGAAGGCGAAAGCGACAGAGCCCAAGCAAAAAAGAGTAGAAGGAGATCTTTTGATGTCATGCCTTAAGGAAAAACATGAAGGCGATCAGAGAAAGGAGGGACTGGAGTTGAGAAAGATAGAGCAGCAAGCGAGCGTGGAGCTACAAAAGCAGCAGCATGATATGATGAAGCTATTCATGCAGCAGCAGCAACAGCAAACTCAAATACTGCTGTCTTTGCTTGCCAAAAAGAACTAAAGTAGAAGACTATTACAGGTATACGTGTATCTTGCAGAGTAAAAAACCGAAAATTTGTGTTGAAGATGAGTTACCGTTTTCCAAACATTGGGCCTATTTAGTTAAATATCTTCTGATATTTCTTCCAATGACGTTATTCATTTGTTGTGTTGCTGATTTATATTATTTTCTGACACTGGTAAATAAGCACATGCAGCTTACGACACGAACCAACTCATGAAACATAACTAAATGTTTTTGTCTGTAATTGAAAAGTATGGCAGTCTGTATTTAAAGTCTGAATTTTAATGAACACAGGCAGGTTTAACAACTATGACAATAACTCTTAGAAAAATAACTAGTGACAAAAACATATATCCATTCATATCCCGATTTTTCTGCACCTCTGAATTCTCAGGAACTAGATTTAAAGTGGACGATTCGTTCTAGATAAAGTGTGCCCCCTTACTAGCCTCTCTATACAATGCATGTATGAAAAGCAGAAGAAGAAGCTATCACGTCACTAAACTCTTCCAAGTTCTGCGGATCATAGCAAACTGTATTCATGAATAAAACTGACAGTCTCTCGAGTCAACAGAAGCCTGTAGAGAAACAGATGATCGAAAGCTCATTTTCGATTCGGGTTTTTGCCTGAGGGTTTTTCTATTTAACAGTTACACAAAGGAATTGAATGCTCATTGAACTGTGTAATTGCCCTAGAATATTAGAAAATTATTACCAAACAAATGAAGTCCTGTCATCGTGAAAGCATCTGAAAGGTTGTGTTCAAATAAGTGGTTAAAGATGATCGCGTAAGTTTCGAAATTACTGTCAACTTCCTCTACGTATAATTCATATCGAGCATCCATAGTACACAATTCTATGTAAACACAGCGCACTTCAAATACACTTTCTTGAAAAGTTTAGAGTGATAGATTTCGTAATTCCATTACCTATATGCATATCAGAATTAAGTATTAGGACATGCTATTTCTTTATTAAGAAAAAGGACGCGTGAACGAACACCGTATAAACGGAAAATAATGGCGTCCTTGCAAGCTTTTTCTTCTATCGTTCCAAGCATCTCGCAGGCTCACCCATAAGAGTTGCTTACTGTCTAAAAGTTTTCTGTCGTCGCATTTAGTTTTTAGAAGTTCTCTACGTAAAGGGCATTTTGCACGGATGACCTTTCATTCACCAAAGCGCCCTTGCACAACTTTCAAGAGAGTTAATGTAGTCCAGGAAGCCAATGGAACCAGATTTGCCCCTGCAACAAAAATGTGTTTTTTCCATCTTCTGCGCCAGACAGCCATGACTGCGATATTCTGAAAGCGAGTCTCGATGGCCAAGGATACGCCGGTGAAAAACCATTCAATCACCAGCGCAACTGAGGTATGAACAACAAATTCCTGAAGCAGCTTTAAAATTAGAATGTTTTTTAAGTAAGTGAACTGATACAAATACAAGACGCCATTAACAGACACAATAGCAGTTGACTCACATAACATGCTTAAAATGGCAATATCAGCCATTAATCTCTCACGGCGAGGAGTGCGTAAACTTCCCCAAGGAGCTGATCTTCTTTTTAAGATCACATGACAAATATGATCAATAAAGACCATGGTGCTTCGTTCTAGAACTTCTACCGCGCCGTGTATTATTCCAAGAACAGCGATGAATGTGAGGTTATGAAGTTCTGCCTGCATTACTCGGAACATGATCGCTGATCCAAAATAAAACGGCACTAGCAAGGTGTACGAGTATCCTGGATGAATAATTCTCGTCATGCGCTGAGCGCAAAGTCTTAAGATTACCTTAAAGATAACTGCAAGGAGAGGTGAGAAGAGTGCAATGAGGAGTTTACCATGTTCAGTTTGCTTTTGGTACATTGGATAAATAAACGATTTTATAATGAAGCCAGTAGAGACAGTGAAGAAGTAGGGTGTTGTCAATTTTATAAATAAACTCGTTCTACTCGACAGGTTCCGGAAGTGATTTGTTAGAAGATGAACTTGCCAACATATGCTCATTAGAAATAAAACGTTGAGAGGAATCCTCTGAATCATAGAAGTATGAAATATTCCAAGGGCTCCAAGGACAACACGATACACTGCATCCACACAGAAAAGGAAAAAAGCAGCAAGAAAGAGTTTTCTTTTCACACCCTTTAACTGATACGGTCGAAAAAGGAAAAGCATTCCTACAAAGAACCACATATAATAAGAGGTAACACGTATTATGTATAACAATGTTCTGATCCACTGTATTTTAACTGAGATTCTCTCCTTCGGGTGAAATTTCCAGTGCCGCATCGGTTCGGATGAGAAGTAAGAGATCATGATATAAAAAAGGCCGAGGATAACAGCGGTTAGAAGTGAAATCAATGCGCCGATGTACATTGATTGACAAACTGTGCGAAGAACGGATGGTCTGAATCGCTTCCAAGCCATTTCATCATCTTCATCTTCCTGTTCGTCTTCACTCTCCTCTGGTGAGCTTGCATTGATGATCCGATATCTAACTCGAGAGTTCCCTACTGACAAGAAATAATAATCGTTGTCCGATGGCGGTGAATATTCCTGATAAATAGGTTTATCAACGGGCTGACAATTCCACTCTCGACCCTCACTGCTTAAGCTATCGTCATATCCAAAGATCTCCACTTCAGGCTCATCAGTGTCGTAATGCTCTGTCACGCCGCGTGTGAAGCTGAATAAAATATGGGCTAAAACTTCAACCAGAAAACTGTTATTCATTATCTGCGTTAGAGAGTCTTCGAGTGAACACTTGAGATCTTCGATACCGAGCGAATGCGTTTCGAATAAGCTCCAGGTTTTTTATTATAATGTTTTGAAAGTGGAAATGCTAACAAAGGAGAAACAATACTCCGACCATCTGCATCTTAGTGAAAGTATTGATTATTCCACTTTTTTACTGAATATTGAAGAAAAAAAATGTTGACGATTAATATCATTAATTTATACATTTCCATCGTTTGAATTTTAAACAAATGCTGTACTCATCGCTATATTAGGCGTGACGTAAAATTTTGTTTTCTCCGAGGTTTAGCCCATTGTTCTTTAATATCCATTACTGATTGTAGCTCTGAAAGTGAAAATACTACACCGAATCAGTTCTACGTCAATTTTAAGCTGAGTAGGTTGTCCTTAAGGCAAACACTTCTTCAATGACTTCAAGATACGTTCCCTAAGTATCAGTCTCGTAAAATGTCTCTTCCAATTTTTGTCCACGATTGAAAATGGTTAGAGAGTTTTTGCCAAATAGGTTCGAAAGCCAAATGATATCAAATGACCGTGACTCTTTTGCATGGATAAAAAACTTCCTTGGCAGAAACGCCGTGTCGAAAATAGGCTTTCGGTTAATATTTTGAAGCTAATGAAATAGCTCTTACCAACCGAGTTGGAGGTCCGTACTTATATATAAGCTATGGACCAATTTTTTTCTGCTCGAATTTATAGATCAAGCTTGAGGCTTAAGTAAAAGAACTGAATGCTTGTAAATTAATCGCATGGAACTGTTTAATTGCCGTGGAAGATTAGAAAAGTATGAGCAAACGCAGACATTATTTATTGAGGATGCGAAGTCCTGTCATTCTATACGCGCATGAAAGGATACTTTGACATATCAAGTGGTTACTTTTTGAACAAAATTGAAAGAATTGTGATTGGGGGAGGGAGGCTTAATGGGCTCTATGCATTGTAAAATGTTCGCTACACTCGCTCAATCAGTACTGGATATCGATTCACGATGCACCTGAAATCAGGAAGAATAAAATAATTTATTCGACACATTACGAAAGGTAACGATGATCATTGGAAAAAACTTAAGGCAGCTTATTTAGAAATAATAAATGGACACTGAGAAGCTACAGTTTAGTTGGCCGATCTTCGTTATTTTGACTTACTCCGTAAATGTTGACCGAACATCACTGAAGCAGTGAAATCTAGGAACTCCAGAAGTTCTTACCCTGAAATGCGTGGAAACTTTTTCACTCCGCCCCCAAGATTCCAGCAACAATTTTCCTAACTGTCTACTATTTACTTCAATTAACCTTTCAGCTCTGACAATTTTTTGTCGAATCAAACAATTTCCTTCATTATAATGCTTTAAATTATTGACTGAAATTATATGTCAACGAGCTGAAGTATTCATTCGACCACTATCGTAGGCGGACAATGAATAATAGTTTGCTGATTGAAGTTTTGCCCGTGTTTCATTCAGCTTCACACAAGGCGTGACAGAGCATTACGACCCTGATGAGCCTGAAGTGGAGATCTTTGGATATAACGATAGCTTAAGCAGTGAGGGTCGAGAGTGGAATTGTCAGCCTGTTGATAAACCTATTTATCAGGAATAGTCACCGCCATCGGACGACAATTATGATCTCTTGTCAGTCGGTAATTCTCGAGTTAGATTTTGGGTCATTAACGCAAGCTGACCGGACGAAGATGAAGACGAACAGCAAAATGAAGATGTCGAAATGGCTTGGAAACGATTCAGATCGTTCGTTCTTCGCACAGTTTGTCAATCAATGTCATTTTAACGCAAGCCTTTTTATACGTCATAATCTCTTACGTCCCTTACTATACATGTGGTTTTTTTGTGAAGACCGTATCAGTTAAAGGCAAAAGAAAATCATTCTTGTTGCTTTTGTCCTTTCCTGCGTGGATACAGTGTATCGTGTTGTCCTTCAAGTCTTTGGAATATCTAATTCCCAACTTTCTGTTTTTCAGAAGATTCCTCTCAACATTATATCTCTTAGTAGCATATGTTGGCAAGTTTATCATCTAACAAATCACTTCTGGAAACTGTCGAGTAGAGCGACTTTATTCATAAAATTGACGACACCCTATTGCTTCACTTTCTCATGAGATTCTTAAAAGTAATCTACTGAACTTCACACCTGAATATAATTTCTGATGCACTCATGCAAGAATTCCACGCAGTGAACCAAACCCCTGCTTTAGAGTTTTAGGCTCGAAAAGAATTTTTAATAGCGACCTTCAATATTCCGGCAAAAATAGACTTAAACCAATCTATTCTAAAGTTTTAAAAATATTCGCTAGACAATGTTAGATGCAGTGTTAGTAAACTTTTGCCCTCTAAGTACAACTGCTGGTGCGCAACTGAAAAGTCCCCTACTTCATCCTGAGGGGTGGGGTGAGGATTGAGAAAAGAGGACGCACAATTGGCTATAATGTCTCATCTTCCACTTTTATTTACATAATGACTGAGTGGAGGAACCAGAAAGGAGAATATTTGACTCGAGATCCTGACCGAGAGCCAAACATTTTCCCGTCCTTAATATTATGCGAAAACCTAATGAGGTAATTGTTTTATTATACATTTTTTTGAAACAATCTGCCATGGAAGACACTTCTCTATGAGTTTACAAAAGTTTGAGAACACTTCACGGACGAGGGGCTTGGAAACTAGGCATACTCAACATAATAACCTAATATCTGCTGCAGATATTGGGTTATCATGTCAACTTCACACGCCTATGTAAACTGTCTCTCAACCAACCATAGTTACTCTGATGTATTATATTCCTTATGATTTTGTTAATGTCAGAGAAGCAATGGTTGTTGTATATTAACAGAGATTTACATTGGTGATATAAAGTGGTCAGGTGGAAAACCCGCGGTTTGCCGTCCAGCAGTGAACGTGAGTAAATTTACAGGTATTTTTACCCCAAAATCCACTTTCGTGAAAGAAATTTAATCTCACTTACTTATTTGATTGTCAACGTATTTGTTCTTGGTATGTTTGTTCTAAAAACACCTGAAAATCGTTTGATGTATATCGTTGTGGACAAGCACCAGCGAGCCGCGTTGAAGTTTCTTGTTTATGTTTACTGGCTTTTTACCAAGCAAATGAACAAGGTTACGAACATATTTAATCACAACCTGGCAGAATTTCAAACGAAAGCAAAATTTGCTGAACATTAAAGTTTTGTAAAAAAAAATATAAAGCAATACAAGTTACGTTCATTCCACAGGTTGAAGTTTTTCGTATGCTTCGTGGTTTAGCCCTTTCAAGTGAAGGAACGCGACGGTAACAGTTTTAAATAAATTTTGTTTTCAAGAAAATTGCGCTAAATCACTAAAATGAACACTAAGAATAAACCACTGATAATTTCAGAAGACAAATAAAGACCTAAATATTTTTAAATCGCTCGGATGCACTTAGGTGATAGACCACTATTGCATAAAAAATGGCAGACTAAGCGCGCAATGTCTTATGGTTGACTAGGATCCTTTAATAGCCAAAATGCTAAAAAACTCGTAACCCTTAATTTATTAAAGAAATAATCGAACAGATGAAAAAAGGGAATAGCAAAACAAAACGAAACAGAACGAGTTGTACGAAGGCTATATCAATTTTTTAAACCCTTGTCCTAAATTTAATTTAATTCGATGTTTGTCTTACAAAAGCAATTACAACAACAACAACGACGACGACGACGACGATGACAAAGCAACAACAGGACTTAAAATGGAAACTTCTCTGAAGACGAAAGTGGCTGTTCTCTCCTGGCCCGTGAGTGGCCAATGCTAGTCAAGGCTGGCAGCTTTATAAAAATATACTCAGGAGAATTTATAATCAAAGGAAAAATATATAAGCCTCAAGAAGAGAGAAATGAAACGATATGAAATCGCGAAAAAATGTCATAAAGTGTGTAGACGATAAGGCTGTTAAATGAAGAACAACTTATTTTGGTTTTCTTCCATTTTAAAAAGTTTTGAACTTCTCTGTCATTAAAGGTGAGTGACGAGTCAGCGGCAGATTGGTTCCGCCAAACGATACCATCCCGAGAACCCATTGTCACATGACCTTTCGTTGAAGACTGTGACGTAAGTGCTCCTTCTATCGGCATCACTCAGGACTTTGTAATTAATACGTGGGTCGTAAGACGCCTTTTATTCTACAGCGTGGTTTGCGTCGGGAAAAAAATTTCGATTAATTCTTTATACTCTTTAGTATTCGTGTTCTCCTCGCTGTCCTCTTAAATTTACAATAACACTGACAAGGAGAATTTGTTGGACAATCAAGAACTTCTTGAATTTTTTATTTTTTATTCTCGTGACCTTTATATTTGATTCGAGGGCGATACTGTCAGGAGGAATTTACAAGTTAGTCACTCTCAGGAGTTAAAGGGTAACAAACTATAGAACGAAACTCTAACAATATGAATTAAGTTAATAGTTAATTTGTAATTTTTACTTTCTAATATTTTTCAGAGCTCTGATCTCTACACAGAGATGGATAAATTATAAGGTCACTCAGCTTGAGTTTTTTATGACAGTGATACTGATAAGTTGTCATCTATTATATATTTTTTAAATGGACTCAAAAGATGAACAGGAGGTTTGCTCATCTCTATAAAGCTATGGTTCACAGACCAACAGTTCTGCAGCTCAGCAGCCAAGTTATTCTTGAGGGAGATACCCGTATCAGCTCCTCTGCACAATCAGATTTTCATGAAGTTCTAGATTTGTCAACTTTGTAACCGGACAATTCCCCCGCCACATCTACCCCAGATAGTGTTGAACACTCTGGTCTGAAAATTTACAAGACAGATGTGAAAAGCATCCAACAAATGCTATGATCACTGACACAATACTTTTGTGTCAAGTGAGTGTATAATTGTCAGTGTAATCAAATATATATTGTAAACATAATTTCTGTTGCTTACAATGTATAAAGAAACATGTTTACATACATAATAACA